CCCACCCGCATCTGGGCGCCAAGGACCCTCGGACACGCTGCTACCAGCCCCCACCTCTCTGGAGCCCCCGGCCCATCCGCCCGCCTCCGGGCAGCTCAGCCTGGAAGTTCAGGCTTCCGGCTCAACGGGGCTCCCCTCGTTCTTCCCTGCTCTCCGAACAACTGCTGAGCCAAAGCGGCCCCGCGTCATTCCAGATTCTGTCCCCCGCCACGTACATCCTTAACTGCTCGCACATGGCCCTGCCATTCAGACCGCTCCAGGGGCTCCCCCATGCTTGTGCGGACACCCCGATCCCTCGTTTCCTGGTCTGGCAGCCTCCATTCTGTCCTCTGCAAAGCTGCCCGTCTGTTCTGGTTTTAGACACACAGAACGGAGCGCCTGGTCCCCGGCTCACAGCCCTACACCGCCGGCCCATCCCCAGCAGACAGAAGCTTCCCGGATCACACCCAGACCAGCTCGGTCCTGGCCCGTCCCTGCCCTGCCCCTCCCCTGGCCTCCTGCTTCCCGAAGGGCCACCCTGCTGCTCACCTCCGCACGTTTGTACACGCTGTGCGTGACGCTTAGAACACCCCCGGGGACACCTCCCCCCAGCGCCCCCCTGGACCCTCTCTCCTAGGATATTCCCCCAGGATGCTCCCCCGGGAAGCCCCCCATGACACCTTCCCCATAGGAACCTGCCCCTAGGACCCCCGCCCAGGACACCCTCCCAGACGCTGCCCCCCAACCTGGATGACGGCAATGGCTTCATAAAGTCTTCGGTGCCCCCACTCGGGCCTGATGAGGTCGGGCTCTGCTGGGAATCTCCAGGACCACATCTCCATTTGGACATCGTCCCTGGGTGACCAAGCGCCCCACGACCCAGCACATGCAGCCCTCACCCCTACCGCATGGGCCCCCTTAGCACCCACAAACCGGCCGGGCTTCCTCCAAGTGTCCCCTTGGTTCGAGCCCGTACCCCCGCGAGTCTCGCTCAGATATGGACCCCCTTCCCCGGCCGCTGTGTTGAAAAGTGCCCCCAGAACCTCCTGGCCTCCTTATCTGCACGGCGTTGATGGAACTTAGCCTCTAACTCTGTTCCCGTCTGAGTCCCCACCCCAGGAACAGGTGGGCTCCTCAGGGCCAGGGTGTCACCTCTTTGAGCCTCTGCTCTAGCCCCCCCCCCACATCCCCCCACCACCTACAGCGGTGCCCGAATATCCAAGGTGCTCAGCGAGGATCTGCTGAAGGTCGGGTGGGTCACGCCCTCCCCCTGGGCCTGGTCTGGCCTGTCTCGAATGAGGAAGCGGCACTGATGTCATTCTTCAGTCCTGAGGTCTGTGGATCCCACCCCCGGGGGCCGCGGGGCACAGGTAAAGCAGGTACTCTCGTGAGATGGGCAGACGGCACATCGGGGTGTCTCTTTCAGTCATGGACTAGGAAACGAGGGAGCAATTCTTGCCACCCTGAAACTCCAGAGGAGTGACGGGGGGACAGGAGAAAAGGGCACTTCTGACCCAGCCTCAAGCTCGTGGAAAGCTGGAGCAGAGCCCTGTCTCCTAACCCCCATGCCCAGTGGGCACTGGGAGGGGCCCAGGGAAGTGGTCCCAGGCCGGGACCCCCCACAGTGGCGGGTGGCAGGCAGACCATCACGTCCCATCAGACACGGGACTCCACAGGGAGGGACACACAGAAGGGGACACAAAAACTAAAGCCACAGGGACCACCATCTGTGCTGCCTCAGTTTCCAAAGCAGAGCTTTTCCCACCAGACCCTTTCCTCCATTCCTCACGTGTGCTGGGGACTCAGGAAGGGCCTGTTCCTTCAGAAGCGCTGGGCTCTTTCTAGGCGTCCCTGAGTCCTCTGGGCGGGGTCTCTGGGCGGCTGGGGTTTTGTCTTATGCCGATGTACCCCTGACCACCCAGAGGGGGTTGTGGGGGACCTCAAAGGAGAAGGCAGGGCCTGAGGGGCTAGTATCATGGGGCCCAGAGCAGGCAGCAGGCCTGTCTGCAGGGTCCAGGCTGGGGAAGGGGGCTCGCGTCACCTCGTGTTCTTCTGGGGACAGTGAGTCTCATCCTGTAAGGCTCAGGACCCTCTGCTTATAAGAGACATTCAATGCCACCCCTTCCCTGTGCACAAGCCAGGTTCATTGCTGCCATGGCACACCATACACGCGGTCCAGACAGGACCCTGGGTGCAGGATAAAGGAAAACAAAAGCAATCTCTAATAAAATACGCATTTCCCTGAGACCCCCTTCAGAGGGGGCGACGGTGCGAGCAGAGAGCCGCTGTCACGAAGGAGAGGGTCCCACTGCTGTCCCTGCTGCTCACTCTCCGCCTTCCCTGCACCACACTCCCCTCTGCCTCTCCGCTGCCTAGCACCGTGCCCAGCACATGGTAGGTGCTCAATATATGTTCAGTGGAGGGATGGATGTAGCACTGAATGAAGAGCTCAGCCCAAGGTGAGATGTGCTGATGGTGTCATGGGTGGGATGAGCTGGGGCCCCTCCCCATTAGCCCTCAGAGGCTCCGGGCGGGCAGTGGCAGGAGACACGTGTGTGCTTGCTCCCGCTGGCGTCCCCGCCTCTCTCAGCGCCTTGCGTGCTTCTCGGGGGCAGGGGCCACTCTTGTCTTCTCGGTCCCCCCTTGGCGCCCCACACAGCGTCTGGCACAGAGTGGGTGCTCAATAAATACCCGTTGAATTTAATGCATCTCAATTCAACAAACATTTATTGAGCGCCCGCTGTGTTGAGTGTCACACTCTTACCTTCCTTGGGCGCGCTACACATGGGTGTCCCTGGGATGCGGCTGGGCGTGCCTTGCCGTGTGCAAATGCTCTGCTCGAGAACGGTCGTCTCCCAGTGGGACTGGTGTCATGGACTCCCGTTGGGAGCTGCTTGGGGAGGGTCCACGGAGCCCCTCGGGGTATGAGTGCTGCCCACCCCCCACCCCCCAATGTCGCAATCGGCCGGCAGCTAGCAAGGCACGCTCGATGTCAGCACGGCCGCAGCCTGGGTCCGTGCACATCGGAAAACAAGGCAACGGCCCCAGGACCAAAGCGAGAGCACACGGGACAGCACAGTGGGCTTCCCGCTCAGAGGAGCCGCCATCGGGACGCCGTACAAAGTGGAGGAAAGACAGAACCATCGAGTCATCAGAAGCAAGCAAAGGGGAAGGACACACACACACACGCACACACACAGTTATCTGCGCTTTGGAGGCACCTCCCCGGTTGGATGGGGGACTCTGCAAGGCGAGGTGGGTCCCACAGGCTGGGTGGGCCCAGTCGAGAAGCACCAGCACCCCCACCCCAGCCTGTGGTCGCCTGCGGCCCAGAGGTTGATGGGGAGGGAAGAGTGGGGGCGGGGCTGAAACAAGACCTTGCAGGTGTGCGACTGGCCCATCAAATCCGTGCGCGCAGCCGCGGGCCGCGCGGGGTCCTCCTCCCCTGGGAACCGGGGCGTCTGGTGCCAGCAGGTGCAGGGGGGACGCACGGCCACGCGGCAGGTCAGTGGCACAGGGACGTCCCCACCGGCAGTCCCTCGGTCTCCTGCCTCGGCTTCTCCCTGCCTGGTGCCCCTCCCCCCGTGGGCTGCAGGCATAAGTGGGGACCCTGGGCCAGCGGGAGGCGGGGGGCCGCGCACCGCCCAGCAAGCAGAGGGCGGGGGGCTGTAAGGGCCACCCTGACGTCCCCAGGCACTGGCTTCCGGAGAGCTGCTGGGCTTTGTTGGGGCCGCCACGACCCCGGGCACGAGAGGGCGGCTGGGACGCCATGCAGCTCGTGCACCCCCTTCCAGAACAACTGCCGTTAGGAACAAGGAGACACAAAGCAGAGCTGAGGCCCGGGGTGCCGGGTACCCGGGCACAGAAAAGGGCTGGGGGCGGGACTGTGATGGGCCCTGCACGCCGCCTGCGGGCGGGACAGCGGCCGGGAGGAACATGCCGCCGCGGTGACGTTCAGCCTGTGGCCGGCCCAGAGACCCCCACATTCAGAGGGCTGCACCCAGGCAGGGCCGAAGGTGCGGGGGGTTCACGGGCATCCACTTACAAGGCTCACCCACAAAACAGCGTGCCTGTGCTGTGCTCGGCACCCTCGCACCCTCGCCAACGCCAATGCCCACCGTCTTCACCCCTGCTCCTCCCCCAGGACGCTTCCGCCTGTCAGCCCCGTTATGGTTCAGTCATGAGGATGAGGATGATGATGAGTCTGTTTACTGAGCACCTACTATGCGCCAGGCAGGGCACTGGCTGCATGCACATGTCCTCTCCTCTGCTCCCTCCCGACCCGGCCAGACAGACAGGTGGAGCAGAGGCCCAGCGATGATGGAGCGGCCGGCCAGCATCCGCTCTGGTCTCTGCCTTCTCAGGCCCGTATCCATCCTCTGCTTCTGCGCTATGCCTCACACTTGCCCACAGGACCCCTCCCACAGCCCCGCGGGGGCTCAGAGACGTCCAGGCCTTGCGGTGCATCCGCCCGTGGCTGGCTGGGGGGGTTCCCCTGGAACTCACAGCCTCTAGAACACACCATGTGGAGCCTTGCCCTACATCTGCAAACTAATCCTAATCCAGCCCTCATGACTCCCAGAGCCAGACAGGTGTCGTCTGGACCCCCTGCGGACGGGACACTCCCCACCGCCCGCATCCCGGCTCAGGCAGCACCGGGGGGCAGTGCCCGGTCATTGACTCCCAGTCTGGACTCCCTGCCTGGACCATGCTCACGTCTGCTCTGGAGGGAAACGGGCCCTCAGCTTCCAGCCTCGCGGCCCAGGATGCCTTCTTTGCAAAAGAGCCCGGGAGCCCCGATTCGGCCGTCCGGGTGCTCGCCAGCTCCGGAATGTTCCGGGAGACACGACGTCAGCGGGAAACTCAAACACAAGAGGGTCCTCACTCCTACCTGGTTTGCTCTTATATTTTTTTTTAATGAGCAAGGCTTGGATCTGGGGACGGGTTCCAGGGTGTGGGGCCCCTTTGCTGCGAAGCCTTCAAGCCACACGTACAGCTCTTTGCTCAGAAGAACCACTCACGTGAGTAAAAGTTGTCCCCTTGCATTGTTTGGAGAGGGTCTCTATCGGTCCCGCTGAGGGACAAGGACTGGCTGTCTAGGTCTGGAGAGTCAGTACTAGTGTCTGTGTCCCCCTTGAGAATCAGCCAGCTGGTTTTCTGCTGAGAGAGAAAACAAGTCACGTGAATTTCGAGGCCATCGGCAATGGCGCCGCCCCATTTTACAGATGAGAAAACAGGTTCTGGGAGGTCGGGGCTTCTCACTGGGCACACCTCTCTCCACACACACCTTCCTCCCTCAACGACAAGCCAAGGGCCCCAGCTCTCCATCCGGGGGAGGGACACTCAGCCCGGGCGCCAAACCCTGCCCGCAGCCTGCTTCCGTCCTGCGGGCCACGGCCGTGCCCGTGACTCCACTCACCGCCTCTGCCTGTTTCGACGGCAGGGGAGCCACACCAGACATGGCACGGCCCCCAGACCCTCAGTATTTACCCTTGGACCCTTCACGGAAAACCTCCGCCAAGGCTGTTCTCCAGCCATCATCCCAGAAGCCCCCAGAACACACATGGACGCGTTTTCCTTCGTTTTGGGACATCTGCTCAGTTACAGAACCATGACCAGGTCACACGGGCGCGTGACAGAGACTTTGGCCGGAGACCAGCAAGTCCCGCGTGTGAGGAGGCGGCGGGGGGGGCGGGGGCTCATAAGTCTGGCCCCTGCGGATTGCGGCCTCGCGGGACCCGGCCGGGAGCGGAATGTAAGCGAGGGGCCCTGGGGTTTCCGCTGGAGAATTCCCAGGACACAGGCTCCCTCTGGGCAAGGCCGCTCCGAGCCAGCATTACCTTCCTGTTCTCCTGCTCGAAAATGCAGTCCTCTCCGTCCGGTCGCCTGGCGGCTGGAAGAGAAGAGCGGGCTGGTCAGGGTAGCGCACCGCCTCCCCGCCGCGGCGCGCCCTCCCCACGTTCGCTCAGAAACAGACGGCGATCGAGACCAGGGCAACACCGCACACGCCTTTTCAGGGCCGGGGCCAGGGCACGCCGGAGGGGGCTCCCGCGGGGACACTGCGGGCAGCCGCATGCGCCCTCACACGCGACAATACTCAAAACCAAGCGCGGTGTGCACAGTGATGAGCTCTTAAAACTCCAGCCCCGCCCCCCTCCCCCCAACAAAGCAGTCAAGCTGTGTTTTCAGATGCGGCCACTTGGCACCTTGAAGAACACATTCTCTATTTTCCTGGTTTAACCTAAATAATAGGAGAATTTGGTCACCCGGCGCCTACCGTGTCCGATGCTGCCAGGAAGGCACTACTGCTCATCCCCATGCAACCCCTTTCACAGATCGGGAGACTGAGGCTCAGAGACACGACGCGCCTTGCTCAAGACCATGGATCGGGGGTGGCAGAGGCTGACATCTGAACCAGGTGGTCTGTCTCCAGAGTCCCCCTCACTTCCTGCCACCCACAGAGCACACGACAGGCAGTGAGCTCTGGCCCTGGAGAAGGTCCTTGAAGAGCCGTAAAGGAGGTCAGGTGTCTGTATCCTCCACTGGTCTTTCATTTTTTTTTCGGTGGGGGTGGGGGCCGACATCATGTCCGAGCACGTCGGACCAAGCAGACCGTACGATGGGATACTGACAGTCCTCAGGATCCCACACGGGCCCTCCCGTGCTGAAACACGGACCCCATGCATGGACGATCAAGGGAAAACCCCGGGGCCCTTCCCCCCCTCCGCGGGGACCGAGGCCACGTAAGGACACGCCGGCGGTGGGGCCCTTACCTGCAGCCCGTGGAGGACTTGGACCTTCTAGCCTTTTGGAGCACCCTGCCTTGTGCACCACCAGGGACAAGACTGACGTCAGGCCCAAGAGCTTGGAGACTGGGGACTGGGCTACAGGACCTTGACAAGATAAGGTCACCACTGAAGAGCGCTCTGGACACGCTGACAGCGTGGTTCTCCCGACGGCTACCTGTTTCTCCTCCTTCCGGGAGAGACAGTGATTTTCCAGCGTGAAGATACACGCCCTGCTCTCTCCACTCCCGGAGGCCAATTTACAGCCAGCTTGCGTAAGTGAGCGGCACCGGATGGGCGGGCAGGCAGGCCGGGGGCGGGGCGGGGGGGGGGGGCGGACACGCGCCCACGGCCAGGGCCCGCTGGTTGCCCGGACAACAGCCGGCGCCGGGCAGCCGAGAGCTGAGGGTCCGCCGTACGTCAGCCATGACTCTGGGCAGCCAGCCGCCGAGCAAGCTCTGGGGACAATCAGGTTGGTGGCTCCCTAGAGCCCTGGGAGCACGGCCATCGCTCAGCCCAGAGAAGGTCTCCGGGGCTGGGTCCACGGGCCCCACATGGACCGCCACGGGGAAGGGGTAATTTGCAAGTGCAAAAATAAACCCCCCAAAAACAAAAACAATCAAACAAAAAAACCCCAAGAGGCTCTTTGGGAAATCCCAGCCCTTGGAGTTCAGGCCACAGGGACCAGAGGCCACCCTGGGTTTGAGGATGTCACACAGCTGTGGGTGACAGGTTGGGTCACACGTTGCCGGCTGTAGAGCGACCTCAGGGTTTGAAAACCAGCCCTACCACTGATGAGGAAGAATCCTGCCAGGAATTAGCAAGTTTCTCTGCAAAGTCTCTGCTAGGTGTGCACAACTTAGCCAGGCTCACAGCAGGGGCTTCCCAAGGCCAAGTGTGCCAGCCGGAGACACACAGGACACGACCCAAGATGTGGGAGCGGGGGAGGAAAATACAGGAATCCAAGGAATCTGGAACTTTGTATTGTTTGTAGCCTGCTTCCTTAACAGCCCTGAGCCTCAGTTTCCTGATCTGTAAAATGGGTCAGTGACACGCACCCCCCCCCCCCAAGTTGCAAGGATCCATGAGATAAAGTATGTGGATGCAGGAACACACTGGAGAGGAATGAAAAATCTGGAATAAACAAGAGGCCAGCTGCGCGGCTGGCAGCAGGCCGTCTCCCAGCGTCGAGGGAAGACAGCCAGGAAGTCAGGCTGCACCCGCCGTAAGGAACCAGGCCGTTCCCTCCGAGCCGGGGATGGCTCTGCCGTGAGGCGCCCTCCTGGGACGGGGGAGGCATCCCCGGGACAGCGGCAGCTGCCTTCCACCTGCCTTCCCTTCCTCTCATCTCAAACCCCCAAAACGAGCTCAAGCTCACCCCAGAGACACACAGAGAAGTGACTGCATCCTGCTTTAGACCGGGGACCACGGGGACAGCGCGCGTACCCTGCGGGGCCCCGTCCCTCCCTGGCCTGCGCGGGAGGACGGAGGGAGCACCTTTCACCGGCGGGGCGGCTGCAGGTGCGGCCTCCTGGGCAGCGGCCTCCACTCGCACGGGCAGCCGAGAGCTCCGCTGGCTCACAAATGGGGCGGCGTCTGGGGGAAATGCCCGTCCCGTGCCTGTGTCTGGACACGCGGCTTCCTGGGAGGCTGGGGGCGCGTGTTCCGTTTCCCTCTGGAATTCATCGTAAGCCCAGCCCAGCCTCGCTCCATCCGGGGGACCTACCGCCGGGAAGCTCCCGCTCTGGGCCTCGCATCAGGGCCCGATGGCGGCGCAGCCTGGAACCCACTCTCTTGGGGGGGGGGGGGGGGGGGGGGGGAGCGGCCGAGGCTGTTGTCGTGCCTGCCGCACCAGGGTCACCGGGCTCCCACCACAGGCGACCGCGGCGCCCTGGTCCCGTCTGCACTCGGTGGCCGCTGCTCCCAGCCTGCCCCGCGGCTGGCCCTGCTCCGCGCCTGGCCCTGACTGCGCAGGAAAGGGCTTTTCTCGGCCTGGCCTGGCCCGGCCCCCACCGTTTCCTATTTTCCATTCACTTCCTTTTGCTTCCTTTCTTCTGTCTTACTTTTTTTTTTTAAGCCATTAAATCTCAACCAAGCAGAGCTGGGACTAATACAAGAACATACTGCTGGGCCCTCAATGCTATACGAGGAGAGCAGAAAGGTCAGGGGGTGGGGGTCAGGGGTCAGCACCGGCTGGGCCACAGAGTGGCCACTTCTCGTCCCCAGTCTTAGTGCCACCGTCGGAGTGGCACCGGGAAAAGCGTGAGCAGTGATGGAGCGTCTGCGCAGAGCAGGGAGACAGTCACGGCAGTGATGGGGCGCAGCCGCCCTTGTCCTCAGCACCAGTGCCCCCCTCCCCGGGGCCAGCAGGCTGGAGCTCGCTTCCCCCCAAACAGGACTGGGTCACGAGCACCAGAAAAGTGGGATGCTAATTACAAATAGCAACAACAAAAACCTGTTATGAGTTGGAAACAGGGAATTGAAAAGTAAATGCACTGATTAAAAACTGTGACTTTTAGGGGCACCTGGGGGCCTCAGTCAGTTAAGTGCCTGACTCTTGGTTTCAGCTCAGGTCATGAACTGGCGGTTCCATGAGTTCAAGCGCCACATCAGGTTCGGTGCAGGCAGCACGGAGTCGGCTTGGGATTCTCTCTCTGCCCTGCTCTCCCTGCCCCTCCCCCCCAACGCTGTCTCTGTCTCTCTCAAAATAAACAAACTAAAAAAAAAAAAACCCTAAAACCTATGACTTTTAAACTGGTTGGATATGTTATCTTACAGTGAGTAGATGGTCCAGTAACTGAACGCCACCACCCAGAGTGTCCTGGCACAGGTGGAGAGTGAAAGAGCGGCTTCTCCGGCCTGAACCTTGCTTCTCTCCCATGAGGGATGAGCATGGTGGGGGGTGCACACACACGCTCACACACTCACAACATATGCACATGCTCAAACGTGCTCATCCATGCATGGCCCCCACACGTGCACACTCACACACATGCTCAAACACATGCATGCTCACACACACTCACATACTCATCCATGCATGCTCAAACACACACACTCACCATGCTCACACCCTCGCAAACTCACGCATGCACACTCATGCAAACATGCATGTTCACACACTTGAAGGCACATGCACTTACACATTCACACACTCACCCATGAATGCACCTCCACATGTGCACACTCACACACACATGCACGTTTATGCAAGCACACCCACTCACCCATGCTCACACATGCTGGAACGCACACGCACACTCACACAGGTACACTCACACTCATCCATGCACGCCCACACACTCATCCATGCATACACACATGCTCGCACACATACGCATGCTCACCCATGCATTCTCTCACACATGCACACAATTATGCACGCTTACACACACTCATCCATGCATGCTCACACATGCTCGAACACACATGCACACACACATGCATGCTTACTCATCCATGCACACCCACACATGCGTGCACACTCATGCAGACATTACGCTCACACACCCTCATCCATGCATGCTGACACACATGCTCACACACACATGCACGCTCACACACACTCATCCATGCATACTCTCACACACACATGCACGCTCACACACGCTCATTCCACGCTCACACATGCTCATCCATGCATGCGCTCACACATATGCACACTCACAACTCGCTCATACATGCATGCTCTCACACATATGCACTCACACACTCTCATCCATGCATACCCACACGTATTTGCACGCGTGTATCTGTGCATGCCCACGAACATATGCACACTCACACGCATATGCGCTCACACACACGCTCATCCATGCATGCTCTCACACATATGCACACTCACACATGCATGCACTCTCACACACGCTCATTCCATGCTCACACATGCTCATCCATGCATGCGCTCACACATATGCACACTCACAACTCGCTCATACATGCATGCTCTCACACACATGCACTCACACACTCTCATCCATGCATACCCACACGTATTTGCACACTCACACACGCACACTTGCACGCGTGTCTCTGTGCATGCCCACGCACATATGCACACTCACACGCACATGCGCTCACACACACGCTCATCCATGCATGCTCTCACACATATGCACACTCACACATGCATGCACTCTCACACACACGCTCATTCGTGCATGCCCACGCACTCTCACGCGTGCTCTAACACACACACTTCCAACAGGGTGTGCTCTATCTGGGTGGGGAATCTTGAAAATCAAAACATCCCGAATATTCAAAACCAAATACATCCTAACAACCGTGATTTTCTGAGTGTTACTGAAGGAAGCCTGGTTAAGGACAGTACACGCCACATGCTGACCCCTCCATTCACAGCCCATTTACATTCACAAAGGGATAGACTTTATTCGTGTTTATCCCTGGGAGGTGGCCAAATGCTTGGTGGAGAGCAGGTACCCCATAGAGTTCATTTCATAAAAGACACAACATGCCAGACGCCCGAAATGATCAATGCCTTTGGTCACTGCTCAGGGCTCGGTTATGGAGGAATTCACTCGCTTTTGGATAGGAGGGGCCTTCGTACCCAGTTTAAAAACACCACCACAAAGGTTATCACTGTTAACAGCAAAAATCAAATGTCTCCATTGGACGATTTAATCAAAGAACTTAATGTTGGAAGCTCTCGGTCTCAGACCTGGCTTTCAGACATCGCTGAGCAATTTCATAATCTGATTTACTGCCTCTTCCGCCTCCTAGGGCACCGGCCCCTCCTATACCATGTGTGTGAATTACATGTTTGAGGTTAATAAAAGGCCAAGTCTGTGAATCCCACTTGTGGGCCAAGAACAGAACACGCCCCTTTCCATGCAGGCTTGAACACGGGCGCCATGATGGTAAGACAGCTCTTAACACAACACTCCTTCCTTCCACTGGGCCTCAGTCTCCCCACTTGTAATAAGAGGGGGCTGGTCCAGACAATCTCGAAGAGCCCTGGCGTCTAAATAGCCCACCCCTCTCTGATCCCTCTGGGAAATCTGTGCTCCAAGCTTCCCCGGCTAAGAGGCAATGGTGTAAAAGTCACTGTCCTCTGGGCACCCGAGAATTGAATCCATTCTCTTCTCTCTTGAGAAGAGGGAAAAACGTGCGTGCACGTAGCCCAGGGCTATTGCGATCAAGGAAAAAAAATAAGAACCTTGTTGTTTGTACAGTCAGACCCCTGATTTATCAGCGAGTCACAGAAAGCACATTTTTATCACACTTTTTTTCTTTGGGTGCATCGGGATGAGAACTTGGGGATTCCTCTTCCCATCCCCCATTGCGTGCAGAGCACTTTACAGTTTATAATGCATTTCCATACTCATTATTCCATCTGGTCTCAAAACCAGCCCGTGAGAAGGGCAGGGCGGAGGACTCAGTCCTATTTTGCAGATGAGGAAACAGAGGCTCAGGATGGTGAAGCAAACACGCCGAATCACCCAGAAATTCCACCAAGAAACTGAGAGGGGAGACCTTGAGCCTTCTGCTTTCTGCCCCATGGCTCCAGCCACCTGCTGCCTGTGCGCCTATCCCAGGAGGACTCAGGTGGAGCAGAGGTGGGCAGTTCCCTCGCTCAGAGAGGGAAACTGGCGAGCAGAGGGGACTCCCCCTCACTGTTGGACATCTCCAGCCCCTATTTATTGATGCAACGATCTCTTTGCCTGAAAACTAGCTATTCATTCTATCTTCAGAAATTCCTAAAACACAAGAATAAATGACTAGTTCTGGTTTGTTTTGTTTTCCAAAAATCAGGCTGGGTTGAGCTGTGGTGCAAGAAGCCTTTGTCCCTCACCACCTTGGCTGAAGCCAATCTGGCTACTTCACTCCAAGAGAAACAGTTTTGGGGCGCCTTGGTGGCTTAGTCAGTTGGGTGTCCGACTTAGCTCGAGTCATGATCTCGCGGTCTGTAAGTTCGAGCCCCGCGTCGGGCTCTGTGCTGACAGCTCAGAGCCTGGAGCCTGCTTTGGATTCTGTGTCTCCCTCTTTCTCTCTGCCCCTCCCCGACTTATGCTCTGTGTGTGTCTCTCTCTCAGAAATAAACAAACATTTTTTAAAAAGTGAAACAGTTTTCATGCAAACCTGCTCTCGGTTATGAACTCCCACCCCAAGCCCAGTGACGTGTTACTGTGGGCTTCACGACACACACAGGCGTCCTTACTCAGAGGTACGCTCTGTCGTGTTTTACGAAGAGGCTCCTAGGAGCCCGCTCAAGACTGCATTTAATATTCAAGACTGCCCGTGGTGCCTTCCCCCTCGCTGATCGGAACACAACAAAAAGGAAGCATCCAGAAGCAAGAGGGTGCAACAGGCATGCAGGGAACACAGCAGCAGAGAAAATCCGACTGTACCATGCTGTTTGTAGATAGGGGGTTTCCTATAGATGTTATCTTTTACGCCAGTGTCTGGGAAAGAAGAGAGAGAGAAGAGCAGAGTGAGTGAGCGAGCAGACTGGAGGTTTCCACCCGCCGTGTCTCCGCAGCAGCCCTCAGGCACCAGATCCAGAGTGGCCAGAAGGGATCTGGCGCCCCACAGGTGCCTGACGCCCAGGACCCACGCCGCAGACCAAGCGTCAGCCAGAACCTAGTTCAAGGGGAGGCGTGGCAAAGGGAGGCGGCTGCAGCGGACAGGGGGCCGGACAGCGCGCCGGACAGCGCCTTCTCTCCAGCACATTCCCAGGAGGGCAAAGACGTCTCCCTGGTGTTTGTATGGCTTTGGGAGAAGTTCAAACACACGGCCGCTGCGGGATGTGACAACCCGCAGAGTTGGGGTGGGGGTGGGGAGGAGAGGCCTGGGAATCGGGGCAATGCCGTGCAACAGATGCTCCGCGTGGCAAGCCTGGCCACGCGTCCTGGGTGCCTACCTGGGACGTGGAAGTGGCGAGGCGCCTGCTGGTAGGTGCAGGGGGGAGGCTTGCTGTCTGAGAGCACCGAGAGGCTGGGGGTGCTCCGGCCACTTTCACTGCCTCCAGACGGAAGAGCGAAGACAGGCAGAAGGGAGGAAGGGGAAGCGAAAGGAGAGTATGTCAAATAGGAACCCTTGCTCCCAGTGAGCCCGTCTCCCCTGGCTGGTGGAGGCCCCCCCAACCCTCTGCACAGGGAAGGGAGGGGGGCCCCCACCGACATTTCCAGGCTGACCCCATGGCTTGTTAATCCAACCTCGGGTGGACCCCTTCCAATGGCCCCAGCAAAGGAACAGGGGCGTCGAGGGCAGAGGGTTTGCTGGTTGCTAATTCCTGGGGAGACTGGCCTGGCTCTGGGCTGACCCCCCACTCTCCTTGGGGTGCACAGCTGGGCTGTTCAGCCATGGCTGCTGCCTGAATCCAGCAAACTACAAATCCACCAAAACTAAAGCCTCCCTTTCTGAGTAGCCCTGTGTAGAAAGATGCAGCCTGCTTGGAGAATCCATACATTGACCATCCAGAATAGGATCGCAAATTCTGTCCCTAAAAGCCAGAATAAAATAAAAGCCAGAGTAAAATTTTCCAGCTATAGGAGAATACGAGAAAGTTGGTATTAATTAGCTGCCGTGTTCCTAAAGAAAGCCATTTTTTGGCAAACCAAGTGAAAAGAATTCTCCAATTCTGGCTCCAATTCCTTATTCCATCTAGACACATAATTTCTGTTTACTCAACAAGGTTGGATTATCAAGCCACGAATTTAGGCAACCACAGTCCCCCTGGGGGAGTTCCCCGCCCTACAGGCACCTATTTGAGGAATGGCATGATAGACAGAACGCGATGGGCACTGTACGCTTTGGATGGCGAGGTTTACGTCTCATTTTAGCAAGGCACTCATAAGGCACAGCTCGTTTCCTCTCCCGTTAGCCTCAGGGGCCCCTGCTCCCTTAGATCAGGGCCGGGAACAAGGAAGGGGCTCTCCTGCCTCGGAAGGAGCCCCGTGTGTTGTAGCATCAGGACCCAGAGGTGACCAGGAAGTGAAACAGCCCAGAGGGGGGACGGGCAGGGGGCCGCACGGAGCGCTAACGGGGAGGGCATGGGAGGCGTGGGCTCAGGGCGCGCTGTGACCTGGGGCAGGCGCACTGGGAACTGGGGACGGCGTGCAGGCATGCCTGTTTGGGCTGAGAACACGAAACGGGGTGCTGAGCACAGCTTCGAGCATCTTCCCGCGCTTGGGTGCTAGTTTCACCTGTCAGCGCTGATGGAATTTCACGCAGGCAGCTGCCCCCTATGGCAGCGTGAACCCTGCCTTTTCCTGAGCCTTCTGGAGCCTTCCGGAGCTCCACACCGACCCAGGCTCCTCCTGCAGCTCCCTGGGGACCAGGGGCCCTCAGGCCATTTCTCAGCTCCTGGGGAAACCATGCCCCATGCACACAAAGGAAGCTGCAGATCGGTTCTACCAACCGTGGCCCTGACTAGCTCCATCCCCAAGGGCAGAGAAACCCGGCGGAAGCGCGGGCTTAAAAAACCCACCCGCACCAGGTCCAGAGCAGCTGAGGACGGCGCATTTGGGGTGTCACGGCTAAGCCGGGCGTGATCCCGGCACGGCCTGTAGAATCCGGGAGGCACTGAACAGCTCATTTCCTCCTGTCTGGAATTCACTGGCCCTGGTCCACCCAGCTCCTGCCCGGGTGGTTTCAGACTATCAAACAGGTGAAGGGCTCCTGTCTCCACCAACCTCTAGCCGGCAGCGCAGCGTTCTCTTACGTCACAAGCAAACCCCCGTGTGCGTGTGCGGATCCATCCGGGGGGCGCCCACGATGTTCATCAGGGGCTCACAGGGCACAAGACCCAGGAGCAGTTGGGGACCCAGAGGCGGTGGCCCGTCATGCCCACCCATACCTGCCTTCCAGGGATACACCAGTCGCCAAGCTCTGCCATCTTGTCCCACACCTCCCAGCCCCCTTCCCCGCCCCACCTCCACTAGTCAAGACCCTTCCTGGGTCGGAGCTCCGCTACCAAGCTTCTCTGGAAGACAAAGCGCACTGCCGACCCTTCCCTTCTCTGGACTCGCTCAGTCACTTCATCGTAGTTAACACTTTTGTAGTAACACGCTGACTGCTGACATCAACTCCTCCAGGGCTCCTTGCCGTGCTCTGCCTACCTCAGCCCTGCAGGGCACGTACCACCACCGCATCTGCAGGAGGAACGGGCCTGGGAGGGCCCGGGGCCAGGGTCCGGGTGGGACCCAGCTCCACCCTGCTCACCACACCACCCTGGAGGCTCCAGTCATGCCCCGGGGGCCAGTTTCCCCCGTGGCCTTCAAGGCGAAAGCCCCAAACCACTGATGTCGCCATGGATGTGGGACCCCCAGAGGAGAGCACGGCTGTGCGGTGGCTTTGAAAAGGCACAGAAGCCCTTTCCGAGGAGGCTCGTGGCTTCCGGAAGCAGTTCAGGGAGGAGGTCAGATCTTGAACTCTACTGGTGGGGAGGCTTCTTCCTTTTAAAAGTTAAGTAAGTGATTTAATTTGGAGCTGTTTCAGGCAGTACGGGCGGCCCCTGTGCGCTCTGCGGCCAGCCCCCTCGCTGGTCCATGGCCCACGTGCTCTCTGAATGCCACACTTTTGTTCGGATTTCTTATTCCCCCTTAGTGTCCCCTCCTGGACCCAGGAGCCCGTCCAGGACATCACATGGCATTTTCTCTGCCCATCCCCCCAGGCTCCTCTGGGCTGTGACAGGCCCCCAGACTTGCCACGTTGCGAGGATTCCTTCGAGGGGTGCTGGTCGGGTGCTCTGAGAGAGGTCCCTCAGTCGGGACTTGCCTGAGCATTTCTCGTGATTGGACAGGGATCGCGGGTCCCCGGAGGAAGACCACGGCGGTGCAGTCATGTCAAAGGCACCTGCCGTCACTGTGATGATGACCTTGATCCCCTGGCCAAAGTCGGGTTTGCCGGGCTTCCCCTCTGCACGGCCCCCTCTCTGCCCTCCCGCACTGTGCGCTCAGTGGGGAGGTCACCACGCTCAGCGCAGCCTGAGGCCTGGGGAGGGGGCTCCCCTCCTCCAAGGTGGTGTCCCAGGTAAATCACTGGGAGTTCCGCACGGGAGATGTCTGTCCCTTCTCCCTCAATTACTTACTTATGCCAGCGTGGGCTCATGGGTTCTCATCTCACACCTTGGGTTGTGGTCAATGCTCTTAATTCATTTCCCTCTTCAGTCGTCCCAGCTTTACACCCCCCACCCCCCGGTGGCTCCTGTGGAGTCCTCTCAAGGTGGCCAGAGGCAAGCCCAGCTCCCATCCGTGTGCAAGGGTGTGTTAAGGACGATAACCAAGATGTGTGCGGATTCTCACGTGTGCAACGTGCCACCACGGGCCACCTGAGCCTTGACCACAACCTCCCAGTAAGGTGGACGGCCCAGGGCACAGCCAGCGGGTAGGAAGAGGGCCCTAACCTGAGGCTCTGCACTGGAAGCCCCCTCCCCCCTCCCCCCATGCCACACAGGTAGGAGGCTCGCTGGTCAGTAAGTGGAGGCTGCTCAGCGAAGACATTCTGACAGCTACCGCCTCCCATTGACCCTCCACACCTGTTTGCTCCCTAACTGGTAAGAGGTCAGCCTTAGACCTCACACTGCCTCAGGAGACATACTGGGCTTGAAACTCATACTAGAGTGTACACGACTGCCACCAACACTGAAGCTGCGTGCAAGGTCTTGGTGGAGGGGTAGTCCTGGTCATTGAGACGGGGGCGGGTAGGTGTGTCTGGGATGAGGGCCCAGCAGGGAAGGAGGAAAGCAAGGGGCCCTCGTCGGCATCTGGCTGGGTCGGGGCAGGCGCTGGCTGGGGTGAGGGCGTGCCTCCCTTTGGGGAGACCTCCGGCTACAGCAGCATTTGTAGGGAAATCTCCACCTAGAGGAGCCAAGAATGCTATGGATGGAACGAGAGGCCAGGAACAGCTTTCCTGGGGACTGTGGGTGGACGCAGGGCTGTGACCAGCTGGGGGGAGGGTGGCGGGCAGGCCTGTGCACAGCTGGCCACTGGCATGCCTATAGGCTGGGATGCGCTAGAGCACGGGGCTGAACGAGAGCATCAAGGAGAAGAGCACAGGCTCCCTCGGTGTGGCCTCTGAGAGGGGTCCCAGGACCTGTGGTGGTCACGGATATGAACAAGAGACCAGCTCAGCTCTGTCCCAAGGAGCTTTGGGGTCTCAGAGCCTTGGTCTCTCTGTACCTTGGTCTCCTCTGGGGTGAGTCCTGGAAAAAGGCTGGGCACTCCCAAGGTCACAAATGGCCCTGGAAGTCGGGCGTGGGGTAGAGCCGGGGGGTCAGGGCTCCCCAATATCTGACTCAGAGAGGGCAGGGAGGCTTGGTCTGACCTCTGACAAAGGGTATTGGTGGCCGATTCAGCCACCAGCGCAGACACGGACCTCAAAGGGTGCAGGACCCACACTGGGCGGGTGCCGGTATCCACCCACGCAGCCACCCGACTGCACAGGCACTGAGCCCCTGCCCGTGGGGGATGCCCTTGGCCCGGCTATGAAACAGTTTCTGAACCACATTTGAGGGGAAAGGGAGTGGAGCCTGTCTGTCTTTCTGCACGGGAGGTGGAGGGAAGGGCCTCATGGCTCTTGCCGGAGGACAACGGGGCTGCCTCTCCCTGGCCATCTCTCACAGGGCTGAGGACGGGGCGCTGCTCCCCCTGACCCGCCTGGAGCAGGCACGCCGCAGGTCTGGGGCGCTGCCCTGGGGCCTGCGCTTGGCCGACGGCCCACCGGGCTCTCCTCCCCGTGGCGTGGAAAGAACTTGAGGGTGGAGAGTCAGAAGGAAGCAGGGAAGTGCACAGGGTCTGCTCCCAGCCTGGACTGCTCTGCGGGCCACACCTCTACCAGAGCCCTAAAGCGGGGCTGCGGCAGGTGGCAGTGGAGGGGGAGCCGTGTGCCCCGGGGCCTTTGGATGTGTGAGCAAAGGGAGCAGAGACATCTCCTTTGGGACCTGCCATGACCTTTTCTAACAGTCATATCACTCTGGTTTGCAGTGAGCGTTCTGTGTGCCTCTTGGTCACACGACACCCATGTGCCACGTAGATGCGTGGGGTAAGGCGGTGCTGACTGCTTTCCCGTGCACGGGGCGCACCATTTCCGGCTTCCCACGCACGGGTGTGCACCATTTCCAGCTTTCCCAGGCACAGGATGCACCATTACCGGCTCTCCCAGGCACTGGGGGTGGGGGGTGCACCATTTCCGGCTTTCCCACGCACAGGATGCCCAATTTCCGGCTTTCCCAGGTTTGGGTGGGGGGGGGGGGGGGGGTTGCTTTATTTCTGTCTTTTCCGGGCACGGGGTGCGCCATTTCCAGCTTTCTCATGCAGGGTGCACCATTTCCAGCTTTCCCAGGCACGGGCGGGGGCACCATTTCCGGCTTTCCCAGGCACAGGGTGTACCACTTCCGGCTTTCCCAGGAGCTGGGGGGGGGGGGCCGCCATTTCCGGCTCGCCCACGCACGGGGGGCGCCATCTTGGCTCTGCTGCTTCCCGAGAGTCAGCACGTCCAGCAGGACAGTCCCTTCGGGTCGGACGCTTCCGCTCGGCGGCTGCACGACGGGACATAATGCGTCTCCGGGGCGTCCGCAAGGACATCCGATCTGCTTCCTCCGACGCCCGAGGGTCTTCCCGTGGTGCCTCCGGTCCCCAGGGCTTCCTCACACGGTGCCGCCCTCGGTGGCTTCAGCGACAGACGCGCGTTTCTCGCGGCCTGGAGGCTGCGAGGCCCGCGCCGAGCTGGCCGGCGTGGCGTCCGGGCCCTCCCGCCGGCCCGGGGCGGCCGCCTGTCCGCGTCCCGTGCCTTCCTCGTCCCGTCATCCCCTCGCATTAGGGCCTCGCCGCAGGGCCCTTCTCCGGGGGCGGCCACGCTGCTGGGCGCGCGCTGACCTACGACTCGGACACGACTCCGCTCGCGATGCACAGGAGAGCTCGGCCGCTTCCCGGGTGTGATCTGCGTACGACGACGCCGTGCAGGCGTGTGATCTGCACCCTGGGGGGCGCATCCTGCCTCGGCCGCACGAGCCCGGAGCCAGGGACTGTCCCGGCCGTGGTCTTGCTCCGGATAACGGCGGTGAGCAGCCAGCCTGGCCCTCGCAGCCGACGCGGGAAACAACCCGGGTGACGGGCGAAGCGCGCGGGATGAGACCCAGGGCTGGGCGCGGGGGACGCCCTGGCCGCTGTCCCTGCCCCGCCCGCCGCCCTCCCCGCTCGCTCCTCCGTCTTCCTCGCGGGAACACTGACACAGCGACAGGGGCGGGCTGGACTCACGACACACAGCAGGGGCACGGCTGACACACAGGGGGGCCATGCGGCACACACAGGACAGCGGACACGCGCGGCGGAGGCCCTGCGAGCGCCACAGCCCGCGGCGCTGCGCCCCTTACCTCGGAAGTAGGGGATGTAATGATGTCTGAACACGGAGGTAGGGCTTGGGTGTTGGGACAGGGACAGGCAGCTACTGGTACCAACACTCACAGTACCAGCTGCGGGCAACAGAGAGCAAGTCAGAGTTCGCCCCGGGCTGGCCGGCCGCAAAGCCACCAAATGTTCCCAGGCCCCGCTCCGCTAGGAACATTTTGGCTTCCTCTCCCGAAGCAAGCAGGCCATTTTGAGGCACCTGAGGGGGAGGCACCGACACGCCTCGGCCCGGTCCTCGCGGGTCCCGCGAGGAAGCCCCGCTCTCCAGGGGACGGGACGGCAGCCCCCAGCGTCGCTGGACGTTCGCCACCGGCCCCCGGAGGCCTGCCTGTCGCTCCTCTGGGGCCTCCATGGGATGGAGGAGGGCGGACAGTGGCTGGCTAGACCCGGGGCGGGTGTGCACCGGACAGTCGCCCGGCTGAGGGGCGCATCTCCCTCTCGCTCTCGGAGGTTACACCCGGCCGGGCCCAGCGACACGCCCAGGTGACCCAAAGTACTGCGGTCACAGGCCAGGAGAGGGGCCCTCAGAGAGGGCGCTTGCGGGCGCTGACTGCCCTTCACCCCTCACCTGCCTGCTCGCCTGCTCACACACTCACCCACACAATCACCTACTCACTCACATACCCACTCACCCACACACCCAGATGCTCACTCACACAGTCACTCCCACACGCACCCACTCACTCACATACTCACCCACACCCACTTACACACAACTCACCTACTCACCCACACACTCACCCACCCACACACCCAGATGCTCACTCACAGTCACCCCCACACGCACCCACTCACTCACATACTCACCCACACCCACTTACACACAACTCACCTACTCACTCACACACCCAGATGCTCACTCACAGTCACCCCCCCACACCCACTCACATACCCACTCACACACACCCGCTTACCCACACACAACTCACCCGCTCACACACACACCCACACACCCAATCACACATACCCACACACACACCCACCCACTCCCACTTACCCACTTACACCTGCTCACTCACATTCACACACACATTCACACACACTCATGCACCCCCACACACACTCTCTCTCGCGCGCGCGCGCACACACACACACACACGCACACACACACTGACTCATCCACTTTCCAGACACCTACTGAGCAGGAAGTACCAAGAACATCGCAGGGAGTCAATGAGAATAACTTTGTGGAGAATCAGCTGATTCTTCCACAAAGCCTGTGAAACCAAAGCTGGAGTCCCTGGGTGTGGAAATGGCGCCATGCAGCAGCTGGCCAGGGAGGAAGCGGCCTGGAAGAGTCCCTCACAAAGCCAGAGTGTGCGTGGAGCATCCCTGTGGCTTTGACACACCGAGGGCAACGATGGGCTTTCAGAGCTAGGGGCAAGGGGTGCACGGCCGGGCACCAGGCAGCACTGGGTGCGGGCAGCCCGCAGAGGGGGCCTGCAGGTAGCCTCTCACCAATTCCCATGGGGATGGCTGTCTTCCGGGCCACCCACCCAGCTCTGCATGAATAACGTCCGTAGACAGGCTGACCCTGTTTTTGGCCATTGATGCCGTCCTCACGGCTCGAACCCGCCAGACCCATGTGAGCCCGGGACTCGCGGACTCCTGCTGTCCAGCATCTCCGTCCTGAGCCTTCCTGCCGCCTGTGACCCAAACACCAGCTGGGTTCTGAGCGTGAGGCCCTGCCTGCGGTTTCCCGGACACCTCCTGCTTCTGCGGGGCCCCCTCCCCCCCAGGACAAGTTACGGGCACAGCTTCTCCGTCACCCACTGGGAGCCCCGCACCCGGCCCGCCGCTTTACCAGGTGTGTAAAGTAAGGCACGGATTCAAAAGAGGGAAAGTGATAGGCAGAGCTTCATCCGGGGGCAGGGGAGCCGCGGGCGCCAAGTACCTGGGCGGCTGTAGTGCTGGGGTGACCGTGAGGTCGGGGTGCAGCGCCCGAGGCTGACGGACCCGGTGGAGCTGGGGCTGGAGGTCCGGCACTGCTTGTACGAACGGTCATCCTGGTCCCCCTGGAGGGAAGACAGCCCGTGAGCGCCGGAGCTGAGGGTGCTGCCCGCCCCTCCCACCCGCTTACCCTCCCTCTGCCGCTCGCCCCCCGAGAATCTGGGGGCTGACTCAGCGTGGCCCCGGGATGGAAGCCCCTGCACCTGCCAGGGCGCCCCTGAAGGGCCAGGTGGGGCCTGACCTTGTGCTGACACCCGCTTCGGCCCGAGCCTGGTCCCTGTGCCCCCAGGTCCCAGGGGGGCAGCGTCTCCATCAGCCTCTCCTTGTGTCTGGGCCCCCAAAAAGTGGTAGAGGGACCCGGCTCCACCTCTGCTCCCCTCCTGCCCCACCCCTTCCGGCTCTTACAACCACCAGGTCTCTGAGATCTGAGAGCCCTGAGGTTCTATACTCTCCGCCCCTTCCCCCACCACGGGGGCCCCCAGGCATATACTCTCTGCCCCCTCCCCCACCACGGTGGCCCCCAGGCATGAGAGGCAGCAAAGCACCCCTCCTGGGCCAGAAGGCTCAGTTGAATCAGACCCGCAAGCACAGGCCCACAATTCTCTCCTCAAGCAGGATAGGCAATTGTTTGGAGCGGTCAGAGCAGGCGGCAGGCGGCGTGAGATGAACACGGCAGCACGGACAGGGGACGGACCGGCAGCAGGGCCGGAGTCACACGTGGCCCAGCCTGGTGGCCCGTGCAGGGTAGGCACGGCTGCCTCGGCCCTGAAAGCCGGCCCAGGGATGAGCACGTGAGATGTGCGTGTGGGTCTGGCGCTCAAGGCTCTCTACCTTCTGCCTCCTAAGGCTGGTCCTCTGGCCAGAGCGGGTGAGCTACTGTCCCTAAAGCCACCCGCCTCCAGGCTCTGCTCAGGCTGGCCCTCCTGCTGGGACCGCACCTGCCAGTTGTCCCGAGCTGCACCCCGAGCCTGTCCGGCCCGTCCCCACCCACGGTGAGGGGCCCCCCCGTCCCAGGGATGGCCGCGTCCCTGGCTGTCCTCTGGCTCAGCCCCCCGGGCCGGCTTCCAGCCCACGGGCGCCCTGTCTCCTCGCCTCGCCTGTCTGTGGGGCTCACAGGCCACGTGTGGTTGTCGCCTCCTGGACCCAAGGGTCCGACGCCCACGCAGACGGAAGTTGGACTGACAGCTACCCATGTCACTGACTATCGTTGAGAAACAGGGACACAGAGCCTCTCACTATATATGTTATCGGATACTTTCGGAATATTCATCTGCGAGATCTGGCTGCTCCCTTGTCCCACTAGGAGAAGCCTGAAGTGGCCCCGGGCAAACCCAGGCTCCTGGTGTTTTTCTCTAAAGAAACCATGGGGCACCGGCGGTGGGGTGGGGGGGGCTCAGTCGGTTGAGCATCTGACTTCGGCTCAGGTCATGATCTCCCGGTTTGTGAGTTCGAGCCCCGCATCGGGCCCTGTGCTGACAGCTGGGAGCCTGGAGCTGCTTCAGATTCTGTGTCTCCCTCTCTCTCTGTCCCTCCCCTGCTCACGCTCTGTCTCTCTCTCTCTCTCTCTCAAAAGTAAACAAACATTAAAAAAATCAAAAAGAAAGCCATGACCCAGACCTGGAGAGAGCCATGTCCCACGTGTCCGTGACTGCAGGCCCAACAGGTGTGCAGGGAGGCATGCGGATGAGACGTGATTATAAAAATAACTTGAGGCCACCGAGGACTGGGGCCCCGGACCCCACGGTCAGGAGTCACAGAAGCCCCGCTGGGGGTGCCGTGGGCAGTTATCTTTATAACCCGGGGGGCAGCACCATGAGCAAACAGGGTGGGGGGTGGGGGGCCGGGGGGCAGGCGGTTACCTCGGTCGGTGTTGGCGAGAGCACCTGTGGGGACTGTGGACACAACAGAGGGGCCTGTTAGTGCCTCGGCACCAGGAGAGCACGTGGCAGAGAAGGAACAATGCAGGACACAGTCCTCACGCCCAGACCCTCCTCCAGACGGGAAAGGAATCCACCCCAAGACACAACACAGGACCGAAACGTTTTTGAAGAAATACGGTCAACAGCACCCCAAGAAAGAGGTTCCCCAGGACACTGCGTTGAGCCAGCCCTGGGTCGTGTACCCTGCCGTGAGGACATATTTTCCTAAAGCAAGATTGTCAGGGCGCAGGGTGGCAACATCCTGTGAGCCCGTCCGCCTCCCTTTTTCCCAGAAAGGAGAGAAAAGGGGCCCAGAGAAAAGGAGGGTGATTCAGGGCCTCAGGGTTTGCGGTTTCCTTCTCCTTAGAATGCAGAAGGGAAAGTGTTTCCAATCTTCCCATTTCACAGAAGGGGAGACTGAGGCTCAGAGAGGCAAAGCCAGATCTGAGCTTCCAGCCTGCTCTTCTTTCCCTGCTAGTTTCCTGCACTGGTGCTGAACTGCTGGACGGCTCCCATTCCAGAGAATTCTGTGTCTGCTCAGCACAGTGCCCTGACCCCCCTGTGGTTTCTGAGTCCCCCTGCCCCATCATGTGCCCACAGAAGGGTCCCCGTGGAGACAGGCACCGAGCAGGCTCCCAGCGGGGGAGGCGGCAAGGGCCTGGACAGGGGGAGCCCTCAGGGGCCCTGAGATGAGGCAGCAAGGGGCCTCTGACACCTCGGACGATGGCAGACGCCGGCAGGGGAGGCCACAGTGACCAGGGCTGGTGACCCTGGCCCAAGTCCCAGCTCTGCCTCTGTCAGCCGCATGGCCCTGGGCCAGCACGTCCCCTGAGCCTGTGTCCTCATCTGCATCCTGGGACAATCACTCCCTCGGTGCGGGGCCACAGGCCACGGGTACAGGAAAGCCCAGGGTCCCTGCAGAGTGAGCAGGCCTGCCGGGTGCGAGGGGACCGTGACACTGCTCGGCCACTACAGGGTGACCGGCCATGAACAGAGGTTTCCTCACCGCTGGCCGCCCTGTGCCTGGCAGGACAGCACGTGACCCGGGACCTCCCTTGCCACTCCCCCAGCGCCCACCCCCCAGCGGGTGGCACCCACATTCACACACAGCGTGCGCCCCTGGAGGGGCGTGGTGTCAGGGAGCGCAGCTCGGACTCCGTGCTCACTGACGTTCATGTGGCCCCCACGGGACGGAGAGTGACAGCACTACCCCCACAGGCGCGCATGGCCCTTCCCAGCCCCCGGCTCCGTGCACTCCCGGCAGCCCTACCCATGTCCGAGGTCCCCATCAGCTGGGAACCCTCAGCTCTGACCAGGGAGGGTGGGGTGTCTCACGACCGCGGGTGGGGGACGGGGAACTTGATCGCTGCCCTCTAGATCTGGCAGCCCTGTCTTAGAGGCAGCATGAGGGACAGAGAAGGAAACAGCTGGAATGTGGTCTTTGGGGCAGAAAGGATTCGGTCTCGGTCTGCCGCCCACCATCTGGGGCGGCCACGGCCAAGTCCGTTGACCTCTCTGACCCCCTTGCAGTGAGTGGAGCTTGGACCAGACGCTGAGTGATGAAGCCCGTGCACAGCTCAGGCACACAACCTCTCCCTGCCCTGCCTCTTAACCGGCTCATCGCCCGGATCCTCAGGTCCCAGGTGTCCCCTGCAGCAGAAGCCAGTGGGGGGGGGGGGGGCGCCTGTGGGCCGCCGAGCAAGGGAAACGGGCCCGTCTTGCTCTCCCACCTGCTTCTGACTGCACCAGCCCACGGAGCACGGTACCCTCGGCCTCTGCCTTACTCCCAGAGCAGCCAACAGGAAGGCCCGGGGGCGGGGGGGGTGTGTGCAAGGTCCTGGGTTCTCCTGCCCCAGGGGAGGGCCTGTCTGGGCCACCCACATATAAACAGCACACACGCTCGGGCGACAGCTGGTGAAATGCTCTTCCTGTGCCTCCCAGGCACCCACAGCCGCATGCGAGCCGCACCACCACCGAAGACGAGGGGAGGTGGGCAGCGGAGTCCGTGTAGCATGGACCAGAGTCACCACGGAGGGACACTGCCCCCGGACACTAGGGAATCGGCCATTTGTGGTCCAAACAGGTGGTCAAACCAACACACGGAACTCACGAGACACAGGGGCGGGCCGGCCGCCGAGGGCAGGAAATGTCCCGGGTGGAGGGAAAGGGCATGACTGACACATCGGGGGGAACATCCCCAACTAAGAAAATGAGATGCTCGTTTGGCCCCCAGCACCTTGCCGCACGCCTGCACGCTTCCTGCTTTCTCTCCCATTTCAGGAGGCTCCTCCAGCCTCACCCCTGCAGCCTTTGCGGGTGGCCCACGGGGCTAGGGGCAGAGCCCGCCGGGGCCCCTCAAAGGGGGCTGGGTGCAGGCCCTCGGGGGGGGAGGGAGCAGACGGGGCCCCCCGCGCGGGCACCCCCCCGCCGGTGCCGCCCCTACCTCGCTGCGGCTCTGCCTGCCCGCCCCTGAGTGGCTGACGTAGGGCGAGTAGGAGATCATGTCGGGGCGGTCGATGTTGTAGATGGCCTTGCTCTTCGGAAGGGCGGCCAAGTCCCTGTAGTCGAGAATCTCGTCGCCCAGCTTCGCCTGAGGGAGAGAGCAGAGGGCACCGTTGGACACACAGCCCAGAGGGCGGCGCCTCAAGGCCGGCAGGCAGTGTGGACAGCGGGGCCCCGCCCGAGAAATGGGGTGAAAATGGGGTGAAGGGGAAAGACACATGGGCGGGGGGTGTCATTGCCATGTGGGCCTGAGCTCCTCGCCCCCTCCCTGCAAGGAAGGCCACGTGATCCTAGGGAAGTGGCTTCTCTGAGCCTCCACTTCCCTCTGTGCAAAGCAGGAGGGGTGCACAGGCCAGCTCGGGGCTCAGACGAGAGCCGGGGACCCGCCTGGCACCGAGCCCAGCAGGCCAGCGGCGTGAGGCCCAGCCTGCGGCCCAAACACACACACATCTACGTACGCGTGCACGCACGTACATACGTGGTGTGTGCACACAGGTGAGCACATACACACACGCACAGAGGACGTCCTATCTAAGACGGTGAAATATACACACTCCCGCATCCACCAACTGGCTCGTGCCCCTGCCACACACTAGCACGCACATGTGCACAACTCGTACATGCCCATCCCCTCACCTGCCACACTTGGAGACACTCCGTCGCTCACTCCCACACAGACCCCATGCTCACTTTCTCACACACCACTCGCCGCACACTAGCACATACGCTGACGCCCACAATCACACCCCCATGCCCACACTCGCTCATACACGCTTATACTTACACACAGACACACACACACTCTCATATACCGGCACACATACTCATGCCCCCAAAATCACACGCACGCGCGCACACACACACACACACACACACACTCCCAAGCAATAGCACACATTTTGCACATATAATGACACCCTCCCAAACCAGCACACATTCACACACACCACCACACACGCACATGCACGCGCACACACACACAGACACACACACTCGGCAACTTTGAGCTCTTACTTAAGATATGGCAGCCAAGTGCCTGATGTGGGACGGGCTGGCCCGGCCATGAGCTGGGGGCGTGGGGGGACAAGGGCTGCCCCCGCCCCCACAAGGTGCTCACACAGCCACCGCTCAAGGTGGCTCACACAGCCACCCCTGGCGCTGGAGGGGCCTCCTGCCTCCTGCATCCTGGTTCCCGTGACTCCGCCTGGCCTTCCCCTGCATCGCCCCCCTGCTCTCAGGCTACTGCCCCCCGTGGCCTCACCCCCCTCCTCCCGGGGGCTGCCTGGGGGCGCACGGCGGGGCTCCCACAGGCCTGGGGCTGGGCAAAGCTGCACGCACAGCGCCCGGCCGTCACGGCGGGGACAAAGATCGGTGTCGGTCCCCATGGTCCAGCCGCAGGTGCCAACGCGCCCATCCGTCCTGGAGCCAGCACGCGCTGTCACCCCCTCCCGGCCACGGTCCCCTCTCGGGGTCAAGCGCAGCCTGGAGTTGCCAGCCGCGGGCAAAGCTGGCAGTCAGGCGGCCCCCACTCGCTCGGCTCCACCCAGACCCCGAGAGAACCTTCTACTCAACCCCAGTGTCCCGGAGCACCCGCAGCAGGGCCAGCACGGGCCCCACGCTCGTCTCCACGGCGGGACTAGCGGAGCAGGCCAGGGGCTCGGGTCCGGGCCCTCACCGCTCACATCTAGACCCTGCAAGCACCCCCTGGGGGCTTTCCTGCCGCGCTGGCTCCTAACAAATGTCGCCAACAGCAGCCGCCAATACCATGAGCTCTTCCCTAGGATGGGACTGGCTTAAGCCTTTTATTATCCGCTCACCAAACGCTCACAGCGAGCCAAGCTGAGGGTACCCACAGCCACTGCACTTCACAGATGAAGAACCCAGAGCCCAGAGAGGTTAGGTAGCTCGCCCAGAGTCACACAGCCAGGGCGGCGCGGGTGGGGAGAGGCCCAGGCCGCGTGATTCCAGAGCCACGCTCCCCGCCGCCACCACCCTCTTCTCTGCCAAGCCCCAGGGACAACACGCCCTCCGGCCCCTCTGCGTGGTGACGCGAGCCCTCACGGTCATTCCCCAAGCGCAGTGCTGACACCCCAGCCTGCTCGCCCCCAGGCGTCTCCTCCCCGTGCCCCCGGCGTGCCAGGCTCAGCTTCAGTGGCCTCAGCCCAGCTCCTCTAGGAAGCCCTCCGTGACCACTGGACCCAGGGCTCTCACGGGTCTGGTGGGTGCTCCGGGGGGCTGGGGGGGAGACACTGCCATTTGTGACGCAGGTCGGGAGAGCGAACGCCTGAGGCCTCAGATCTCCGACTCTTCCCTTTGGAGCCCTGGGCAGGATTCTGAAGACACGGGTTCAAGTCCTAAGTCTGTCGTTTGTAGTCGGGATGGGCCATGATCGGAACTTCCATGCTGCCCCTCTGGGGCCCCTGTGCATCGGCTTGTCTGTGGCCCACCCCTCTGCGCCATGCCGCCCCCACAAGGAGCTCCTTATGGCTCCCCAGCCATCCGGAGCCCGGGGCCTGGCGCTCTGCTCGCTCTCGCGCCCTCTCTCTCTCTCTCGGCCATGCCCGTCCCAGGCCCCTTTGCCTGGCTCACCTTCTGGCTCCTCCAGACCCGGGCGGCTCTCCCTCTCCGGGAGGCCGTCCCTGCTCAGCTCCGCCACCTGGCTTGATGTTTGTGTCTGGCTCCTTCCGGTGGGGGTGCAGACGCTGGTTGGCGCATGTCTCCCCTTGCCGGGCCTGCGGCTCCTGGGGGCCCGTGACTCTATCTGACTCACGATGGAGTCCCTCTCCCTGACTCCGTGCCCGTCCGGCAAGGTCCTTGGGACGGGCTTGAAAACGGAATTGAAATCCATGGGGCGCTGGCCACAGTCACGAGGGTCTCGTGTAAGACGGGGACACCACCTACATCTTGTGCACCCACTCGGTCCCGTGAACATCAACTTAAAGCTGGCAGTGGACTGAGGGGCTGGGCAAGGTGCCCCCCGCCTTTCCCTGCCGCGCGACCCCACCACGATCAGAGCCCCGGCCTCCCCGGGGTGCCCGGGTCAGCCCGACAGCCAGGATCGCAGAGGCGGCCTGACGGCGTCGCTCCTGCCCGCTTCCACCTGGAAAGTGGCTCTGCCTCGTTCCTCAGCGTCTGTCCCGCCCGGGGCGCTCGCAGACCCATTTCCTCCCCCGCCAAAGCCTCCTGTGGGCGCCGTGACAAGAGGCTGTGCTCCCTACTTGGCGGAAGGCCACGGGGCGTGTGCATACGTGTTCATGCGGTTTCTCTCCGCCTTTCTCTCTCCCCGACTCCATCCAGCATAACAGGCAAGAACCATACATGGCCATTTATGACAACAAGCTGTCAATAATATACATTGTAACACAATAACGCCAAGTCTGGTTACTGATTTACTGCCCTGGTGAAGAGAAGCTACAACAAAATATTCAGTGTGACCTCATTATGATTAAAAAAAAAATACACAGAGAAAAGAGACCTAAGGGGCGCGCTCCAAAATATTAACAGTGGCCACGCTGGCTCGCAGCATAACACTGATACTCGTGTTCTCTTTTGTACCAGTGAGCTGCCGGGCCGCTGGCGTCCTTCAAAGCACACCGAGATGCCACGGGGATGGGGGCCACCCTCCCGAGGTCCGGCACCGAGCACGGGCCCAGGTGCACAGCAGGGTGACAACAGATGCCAGCAGAGACAGGAAAGAGAAAGCAAGGCAGAGCCCTGAGACGGGAAGGACTTGTGTCTCAAGATGAGCACCAGCTGGGAGCGGCCGCCACCCTGACTGGGGGCGACAGCCGGCTCTCTGGCCTGAGGCCTGTCTACTTCGGTGGAACGCACACCCAGGAAGTGCACTCTGGACGGCTGTGGAGGCTTGCAAGTAGTTGTGACAACAATGACTAGTGTCTCTGCTCATCACACGGTCATGACAGTTCCTGGTCTTTTACAAACGCCGGTTTGCTTAAAAGAGTGGTTCGTGTTTGGGGCGCCCGAGGGGCTCAGTCAACTGAGTGTCTGACTCTGGCTCAGGTCATGATCTTGTGGTGTGTGGGTTCAAGCCCCGCGTCGGGCTCTGTGCTGACAGCTCGGAGCCTGGAGCTGGTTTGGAGTCTGTGTCTCCCTCTGTCCCTGCCCCTCCCCTGCTTGCACTCTCTCATTCTCTCTCTCAAAAAATAAACAAACATTAAAAAAATGTTTAAATCCCTGGAATGGCTGCTTTGCCATTTGCATTTCCTGTCTCCTTCCTGAGCCTGAGTGCTCATTCATCCCCGGGGCTTGTGACGGCCACGGTCAGCCAAGGACCACCGTGCTTGCTGTGGCCGCCCGTCAGGGTCAGGGTCGGGGATGTCCAACCAGTATGAGGGTCAGGGCTTAAAAGAAGTGTCAGGAAGAGCAGATCCAACCCTCTCTGTCACAGACGACAGAGGTCCTGGTGGGGGAGGGCAGTGGGAGAGGTGACGTACCCCGAGTCACCCACTGTTCTGTGCAGGGGTGGAGCCGGGCCCAGATGCTCGGTCCGGGGTCTGTCCCCAGCCCCCATCCTGCACCTCCTGCCACGGGGCTCTTCCCCAGACAATGGTTTTGTACTTACAGGCAGATCAGCAAATACCACAACATCCAACGGCTGCTCCTGCCACCCAGAGGTAGATGCTACTTCCAGTTAGTTAGCGTTCCCGATCATTTTATACTTGTTTGTGCATGTGCACACACACCCATATGCACATGCACATATATACCTGTATACACACACCCATATGCATGTGCACACACATTCCCGTACACACACCCCCATATGCACGTGCACACGTATACCCGTACACACACACCCACATGCACGTGCATACATATACCCATACACACACCCACATACGCACGTGCACACATACACCCGTGTACACACACCCCCATATGCACATGCACACACACCCGTACACACACCCCCATATGCACGTGCACACACAGCCGTACACACACACACCCATATGCACGTGCACACACAGCCGTACACACACACCCATATGCACGTGCACGGACACCCGTACACACACCCATATGCACGTGCACACACATATCCATACACATACCCATATGCACGTGCACACACATACCTGTACACACACACCCATATGCAATGCACACACACACACGTACACACACCCCATATGCATGTGCACACACCCATACACACACACTCGTATGCACGTGCACACATACACCTGTACACACACACCCATATGCACGTGCACACACATACCCGTACACACACACCCGTATGCACGTGCACAGACACCCGTACACACACATGCACCTGCACACATATACCTGTACACACACACCCATATGCACGTGCACACCCCCCCATATGCACATGTGCACATACACCCATACACACTCACACACCCATATGCACACACCATATACACCCATATGCATGTGCACATATATATCTGTATACACCCCCCATATGCACATGCGCACATGTATCTATACACACACACCCATATGCACATGCACACATACATCTGTGCACACACACATGCATATGTATGTACACACACACCTGTACACACACTAATGCACACACAATATACCTATGCGCGCACACACACACCCATAGACACTCATATGCACACCCATACACACCCACACACTCGTGTGCACACACCGACACCCATATGTAATGCACATATACATCCATGCACACACACACACCATGTGCATATATGCACCCATAACACACCTGTAGAAAAATGTGACACACACCTATGCACACACACACTTGTAGTCACAAACCTATATGCACATGCACACATACGCCCCGATATACATACACTCATATGCACACACCACACACACTCATATGTACACACACATACACATATGTAAACGAATACATTTATACATGTGTAGCCATGTGCGTGTACACATGCACACACCACACACACACAGGTACGCACATATACCCATATGCACACACATACACCCATGCACATATATAGCCATATGCACACATACACCTATGTAAACATGCATACATTTGTACACACATATACCCACATGCACACACACATACAGTGTTTAATGAAAATGGGATTGTGTAACGTGTATCATCCTTCACACGCCTCTCGCCAGAATATGTTAGGAACACGTCCCTGGGCAGCAGGTGCAGATGTGCACTGTCATTGGTGGCGCCTGCCCAGTCTCCCGTGTGCCCTAGTACAAGCCTTAGCTGCAGGATGGGGGTAAAGTGTTCACCTGACAGCATCATGGACAACAGCTGTGGGCACATCGTTTCGGGCCCCATCACCACGGCACCCAGGAGCTTCTGGGCCACATGCTGGTCCTCACTGCAGGCTCTGAGTCAACCTCACGACGTCTGCACCAGCCTGCGCCCCACAGCAGTGGCGAGAGCCCCGGCTCTGCACTCCAATGGCCGTGTACGCCCCAGCCCCCAAGGGCACCCCCGGCAATGGCCCGGGGCTGGACCCTCCCACCACCCGCCTCCCCACTCTCCAACTCACATAGATCACGCGGCTTGGAGACCCCGAGGTGCTGGAAGCAGGTACGGAAATGATGCTCTCTGAGGAGCTTCTGGTTTCCTGGAAAGGAGATAGGAGGAGACTGAAAGCAGAATATGTTGATTCCAGAACCTTCCAGATGTAACTATCACAGGTCACACTCCGACAGAAATGCCAGGAACGAGATTTTTTTTTTTTTTGCAAGTTGAAAGAATTCTTAAAATAAACACGTGGGCTTGAACGAGCGGCTGGAAAGCTCTAATCAGACAGACGCAGCGGGCGCGCAACTCCAAGCGCACAGCACGGTCTGGGCGCCGCTGGAGGGGCTCCGACCACCCAGCTTTCACGCAAGGAAATTTTCTGCTTTTCAGAGGACGAGAGCAAGGGATTCTGCGCGCTCCAACGGCAAAGGCCATCCCTCCTACCCGGAAGCTTGCTGCTCAGAGGTTATTTTCCACCTAGGTTAAAGGGGCAGGGGGGCGTGTTCTAGCTCATTCTACCAGTCGGTCCTCTGCTATCGGACCCTGTGGTCACCGCATCCGTGACCTGCTCCCCGAGTGCCCACGCCTGCCCCTCCTCCCTCCGTGGCCACATCTGCTTCCCTGGAGGTGACAGTTTCCCCATCCAGACCCCTCTTCTGTTCCCCACACCAGGCCACCCGTCCCTGCGTGGACCCCCTCATTCCCCAGCTCCCACGAGCTCCTGTACCTGCGTCCACCCGCACCGCAGGTCCCGCCTCCACCCCTGCCCGGGGCCCCCCGCCTGGCCTCCCCCTGCCTCTTCACGGCTCACCCACTGACAGCTCCGGCTGGCTGCCTCCTACATCATTTCCATCCCTCTCGGTGGCCCACGCCTGCTGCAGCGGCCCCGGGAGGTGCCACATCACAGGCTGAATTACATCTCCCAAGGCTCGTACGTTCAAGCCCTAACCCCCACACCCCAGAATGTGACCATGTCTGGAGACGGAGTTTAAAGACATAGTTAAGGTAAAAGCAGGTTACAAGGGTGGGCCCGGTGTCCTTCTCAGAGGAGGGGTCAGGACACGACACACACAGGAGACGACCACGTGAGGACACAGGGAGAAGACAGCCGTCTGCACGCCAAGGAGGAGGCCCCGGAGAGAACCAGCCAGCCCGCGTTCCGAGCCAGGACTCCAGCCCCCGGGACTGGGAGAGAAAAAGTCCTGCTGGCTGAGTGCCCAGCCCGCACCGATGTACACGGCGGCCCCAGGACCTTAGCACGGGCCGTGGAGCCCTGGCCTCCCAGCGGGAGGACGCCCAGCACCTCCTACACTGTCTGCGGGACAGCAGCAAGGACAGGACGACACCAGGAGCAGATGTGAGGCCACCGCGGCGGGGGTGGGGACAAACCTGTGAGGCACAGGGGGCGGTGCCCAGGGAGCCCTGATTGCAAGCCTGGTTCTGCATCTGGGGAGGAAAGAGAAGAGGGAGAGGGCGTGATGCCGGGCTCGCCGCTTCAGCGACGTGGCCACTCGCCCACTAGGCAGCGCCAGGCCGTCCCCTCCACACTCCTGGGTGCGGCTTCCTCCAGGATGGAGCGTGGGGCCGTCCCCTCCCCTCCGGGCCTGCCCTGTCTCCCAGGGGCCCCCGGAGCTCTTCTCCAGCCTCCTGGCAGACCCCAGGCTCTAGAATGTTCCTTCACTGCCCTGTGACCCACCTCCCATGCCACCTGCCAAGGTTTGGCTCCCCCCACCCTGCCGCCTAGGCCCCGCCCCTCCCCGCCAGAGCCCGCCCTCCCTCCAGACGTCGAGGGCGGATATCAGCAGGTGCTCGGGGCAGGCTATGTGTTGGGTGACACCTGACCCAATGGGCAGGGGTGCGCTGGGGACAGGCAGTCAGGGCCACAGCCTTCCGGAAGGCTTTCCTCCAGCGCCCTGGGCAGACACCCAGGAGCCTCCCTTGTCCTGGGAGCGGCCATGCCCCAGGGTGTGCGGTCAGGGAGGACACCGCGCCCTCTGTCCCCTCGCCCGCCCCTGCAGGGACCCCAGCGCTGGCCTCTCTTGCTGGAGAGCAGCCAGGAGGCAGGGACCTGACTGGTCCCAAGGGTCCCGGAGCCTGGCAGGGAGGGGCCTTGTCAGATGACTGGGTTACCGGCCAGTGAATGGCGAGTTCCTCCTGCCTGGGTCACCAGGCAGCAGTGGTGTGTCCCCACCCCCCAGGGACGGCTTCCAGAGAGACTCAGCGACGCCCGTGCCACCTCGGCTGCGTTTCCCCGGGGCCGCCCACCCCGTGACCCGACGCTGACCGGGGCTCCTGTTTCGTGCTCCCCGACCAGCTGGCACGAAGCGAGTGACACAGGAGAAGTCCAGCTCTGCTTTCCTGTCCCCGGGCGCTCACTGCCCGGCCCCACCCCAGCCCCACCCCGGGCTATTCTCATTTCTCAGGAGAGACAGAAGAGGCTCTGAGGGGCCAGAGCGAGGGAGGGTGAAGTGGGGGACAAGCAGGGCACGACCGGGGCCTGGATCCCGGCCCGGGACACAGAGGGGCGGCCCTGAGCCGCGCCCACCCCGGCTCTTCTCATGGGACGGCCACGGCACCCGGTGTGCCCAAGGCGTCTGCGGGGACCCAGCCCCGGAAGCTGGCTCCAGTTCTGCCCCCTCCTCCTCCCCATCCACTATTCAGAGCACCCCCCACCGGGCCAGCGGCTGCGGTCACCACGGCTGACCCCTGGGCTGAGAGCAGACGGACGGAGCTGGGCTCCCCGCGGGCCCCGGGGCAGCTCCGCGGCCGGTTCCGGAGGCCAGGAGCAGGGCTGGCCGCCTCCGTGTCCTGGAGCGGGATGGCCCAGGTCCCCTTTCTAACCCGGTCACTCTCAGGAGCCCTCTCAGCACGTGGGGTCCCTCCGGCGGGTCCCTCTGGTAGGCCTCCGGGTTGGGGCTCGGGGGGCAGCCCCACAGACAGGACCCCGCGGTCCTTCAGGGTCAGGGACGCTGGCTCTGTGAGGACAGGGATGTGCCCGGCGCGGCACGTTACGGAGGGAATCGTGGGCTGCACGGTGTGAGAGGCTGGTGTGGCGGGGCATGCCAGCCACTTCTGTGACCCTGACCATGAACGTGACAGGCCAGGCAGAGTAGCACCCGCAAGGCTGCCCACGCGTGGCCAGAGGGCCTCTGCCGAGGAGAGTCAGGAGCCTGAGTCGGGAGCTGGGCTCCCTGGGGTCTCAGCATCCTTGTGAGGGAGGCAGGGGGGTCGGGGCCCCTGTGGTGACGGAGGCGGGATCTGAGAAATGTGGGGCGGGCAGCTGACCCTGGAGCCTTCAGACACGGCCATGGATGAGGAGGGGTCCTCCCTGGAGCCTCTGGGGTGGGGGGGCCACAGCCTCCGGCCCCCAGAGTTCAGGGGCACATCTGTGCTTCTTTAAGCACTAAGTTTGTGGTAATTCATTAGAGCAGCCAGTCACCAGTCACCACAACTCTGTCCCTAGCGGGAAGGACCCCCGTCATGTGGGCCGTCCCCCTTCCTCACCTTCATGCAGCGCAGGGCCTGGGGACGGGCACCATCTTGCACACACTGAGTGCGAGTGCTCTGGACCCCCGGGGGGGGGGGGGGGGGGGGGGGGGACTCCAGGGCGTGGCAGCCCCGTCCCTGAGACTGAGGGGCAGGGCACAGGGGGGAGGCGGGGCGGGCGGCTCTGAGCCCAAATTCCAGTGTTCTCCAGTTGGGGCCACAGTTTGGGAATGCAGCCAGAACGTGACAGGTGCCATCTGTGCACCCAGGGAGCAGCGGGCCGGGCCGCCGGAGCCCCCGGGGTCCCCTCCCAGGCTGTGGGGCTCCCTGCCCCTTGCTCCCCTACGCACCATCATCAGTCCCTCAGCCTCCTGATCTGAGCAGCGCTCGGGGTGACAGAGGAGCAGACGCGGGCAGGGGCCCAAGCCAGGGTCCAGTGGCCACAGACCCGCCCTCCCCAAGGGGACAAGACCCTGCTCTGCACTCCTGTACCCCAGGGCTCGGCCCCCTCTCTCTCTCCACCCCCCAGGCCCAAGGCTGGGGCAGCAGCCACATGGAGGTCTGTGCCCACCAGTGCTTAAGGCAGGGGGTCTCCAGGCCCAGGGGCCTCCTTCCTGTGGGCATCAAAGGTGACTGTCGGAGGGGCGCCTGGGTGGCTCAGCCGGTTAAGCGACCGACTTCGGCTCAGGTCATGATCTCACGGTTCGTGGGTTCCAGCCCCGCGTGGGGCTCTGTGCTGACAGCTCAGAGCCTGGAGCCTGTTTCAGATTCTGTGTCTCCCTCTCTCTCTGACCCTCCCCCGCTCACACTGTCTCTCTCTCTCTCAAAAACAAATAAAACATTAAAAAAAAAAAAAGGTGACTGTCGGAACCTGAATTAAACCGTAGACGCCTTGACAACTGAGCAAAGCCCCCGGCACCACTTCGAAAGCGGGAGAAACAAGATGGCAGATGGGGGGAAGTGGCCGGCCCGGAAAAGGAGGGCTCAGAGGCGGGACTTCCGGCCCGGCCCGGCCCGGCGCCCACGGAAACGGGTCCAGGAACTGAGTGAGGCTGTCACCGGTTGGGGTTAGGCGCCCCTCCTCCACGGAGCCCTCCTGTCCCAGCCTGCGGCCCCCTCCCCTCATGTCCCAGAGACAGGCTGGCGTCCCCGTGCGCCCCCCCATCCCCCTCGGTCCCTACACGCCGGGGCGGGACTCGGCCAGCTCGGCGCCCCGGGCCGGGAACAGGCTGGGCACCAGACGCTTGGCAAAGTCCTGCTGGAGGGACGGCAGAGGGGCGAGTGCCTGAGAAGCAGGGGCCTTCCGCCCACTGCACTGGGTTTCTTCCCCCCGCTGGCTTCCTTCAGAACAGGCCTGGCAAGTGAGAGCCGGGAAGGGGGCCCGCCCACCCCCCGGGGCGCCGGGGACCAGCGTCTCCTCCCCAGCCAGCGTCCCCGTGGACCTCAGCGGCCTGAGCCATGGGTCTCCATCCAGCCCAACAGACATGCCAGAAACCTTCTAGTTCCCCAGATGGGGCCAGCGGGCGCCTGGCCGGTAGGGGCGCACCCGGGCCGCAGAGCTAAGGGTGAGGGGACCCTGCGCGCCGCCGCCCGCCGCCCTCCCCGCCCCTCCTGCCACGCTCTGTTGCACCACTGCTCGGCTAGGCAGCAATTTCCGTCTCTCCCTCGAGCTCATCCCAAGGGGACCAGGTCCGTGTCCGCTTCCTCCCTCACTGCTGGGCCTCTGGGCGGTGAGGAGTTCGGCCTTGCCCAGAGAGAGGTCTGGCCTGCACCCTCTACCCCGGGGGTGATCTGCGTCCACCTGCTAGACTGCTTGGGGAGTTGTGTGGGCGTTACCCACACTCAGCAGGCCTCGGTGCTGCCAGCGCCAACCTGTGATCCCCGGGGAAATCAACCATGTGGCAATCAATCAATCGGTCAATCAGTCAGTCAGTCAGTCATCAGTCAGTGGAGGCCCAGTCAGGTCTCTGACGCACAGGCTGGGGTGCCCCGTCCTGTCTCCACGGGAGAGGAGCAGCTCTGGGTCTGGACCCCTCCCGACCGGGCCCCGGGCGCCTCTTTGGCTGATTTCTTGTGCAATAAACCATAACCGTGACTAGGAGAGTTTTCAGTGCGTCTGTTAAGTCCTCCCAACGAGTGACTGAAACGGAGGGCACTTTGGGGCCCCTCCAACTCGCAGTTGGTGTCTGGGGACTGTTCGGAGGCCTGCTAACGTCACACCTGTCCCCAAGCCTTTGCAGCCTTCGTGTCCACGGGGCCCACGGGGAGGTCAGCAGGCTGGGGCGGGGAGGCCCCGAGATGCCGTGCCCCAGCTCGCACCATCCTCGGTGGATCCCCCTGGCACACCTCAGCACCCCCAGGCCTCACGCCACCGGCCCGTGGGCTGGTGCGACGGCCAGTGAGCCTACAGAGTGGGTGACAGCACACGGGCGCCGAGGAACGCACCGGGGCAGGGCGTAGATTCCACCAACCTTGTTTTTGTCTTCAGTTCTGGCCGCTTGTCGGCACGCCGGGTGCCAGATGGAGGAACCTGGGGACAGAGTCCAAGAGGAGGTGCTCAGTGTCCCTTCCCGCGATGCGGGGGGCCTTGCGGAGGGTCGGAAGCGAGGAGCTGGCAGTCCACACATGGACACGTGTTCACCCACCCATCCTCTGTGCCGGGCTGGGCGCTGGGCCTGGGGCACGCAGACCGCCGCCTGCCCCCGGGGCTCACAGCCCAGCACAACGGGAGGTGTACCACCGTGAGCTAACTGCCCCCCGCCTGCGGGGGTCCATGAAACCCGGGGAGCCCCGAGGGGCCTTCTTAGAAGAGGGGTGTCACATGACCTAACACCAGGGGTGGAACTTATTACTGCTCCTCCCTGGAAAACATCTGCATCAGCCTGGAGCTCCTGGGAGATGGCAATTTAATTGTGTGTGGGTGTGTGTGTGTGTAAAACATTCATTTTTGACAACTGTTTATGACTACAAAAGTCATAGATGAGTAACTGATGGACCTTATTAAAAATTAATAAGGTGCCTGGGGGGCTCAGTTGGTTGAACGTCTGACTTGGGCTCAGGTCATGATCTCACCGTTTGTGGGTTCAAGCCCCGCATCAGGCTCTGTGTTGACAGCTCAGAGCCTGGAGCCTGTTTCAGATTCTGTGTCTCCATCTCTCTCTCTGCCCCTCCCCTGCTCTCTCTCTCTCAAAAATAAATAAACAGCAAAAAACTCAAAAAAATTAAAGAACCCCAAGAAAGTATAAGTAAGAAAATGAAAGCCATCTATAATCTCCAAGCCACTTCTGGCCGGGGCGGCCTTTGGGCACACATGTGCATTTTCATAGAAGATGGATAATGTTGTATGTACATATTTCTATGTCTTGGAATTTTTTTTTCAAAAGTCTTGCACGTTTCCCCATATACTTAAACATCAGAAGCGTAAACCTTCAGGGCTGTGTGGCATCCCACACGTGGAAAGAGGGTTGATCTGTCCCTGCTCTCGGGATATAGGGTTTTGTCTCTCAGTCCCATTGGGGGTGGGGGGTGGGTCCCCCCCCCCAAGTCCCAGCCCGTTCCTCTTACTTGAGGACTCCGAGAAATGGAGGCTTGGCTCAGAGGGTGTGGGTATTCTTAAGGCTCTTGGTGGCACCGCCAATCTCCCAATTCTTGCCACACCAGTGGGGTGACACCCCCATTTCCCCGATTCCTCGCAACGCAGATGTGCCCTTCCGTTTAGTCCCGCCAACCCAATGGGGGGAAATAGCATCTCGTTATCATTTTCCTCCAGTCTCTCCAAGAATTCCTGAGAGTCAATAGCCCCTCCATCATATTTGTTGGAAAGGTGTTCCCCATGGTAGGGGTGCTGGTGGCAGTGGGGAGGGGGCGGCCCGCCTCACCATCCTCGACGACTGCAGGGCTCACCAGGACCCCTGCTCTTCACAGCTTCGGCTGCGTGGATTCACCAGTCAGCACCTTCACGGCGTCCCAACATCGAGGTGGCCCAGGCAGGGCGGGGGCCGGACCCCGAAGGACCCCCTGGCACAGTACCCCGGAGCTCACACTGTGCCACTGAAGGCTCTGAGCTGCGTCTGGACCCCTTGTCGCACCCCCTGGGGAATCGGAAGCTGGGAGGGGGGCAGGACTGGCTTCCGGGCCCCACGGAGAGTCACGGCAGGGCCCACTTTAGAAACGGGGTGCCGGCCTCGGCCCAGAGCCGTGAAAAACATCTTTATTCCCTGACGCTGGGCCCCCTGGATGGCGAGTTCGCGTCTCCATGCTTGGCATCAGGAAGGCCCGAAAGCACTATTCACAGCAGGGGCGATGCCCGCGGCAGGGGCCCCTCCCGGCCAGACGCCAGAGCAGCACAGGGCGGGGAGGGGGCCGCGCCAAGGACGCCTTTCACCGGCTCTCAGGCAGAGACTCGAGGAACAAGATGGGACACCAGAGACGAGGCCGTCCTCGCTGACCTCAGCCTGTGAGGTCGGCTCAGAAAGGCAGGCCTGTCCGACCCGCCGCCCCAGATGACCACTGCGTGAGCTCACGGACCGGCCCGTGCGCGGCTCTGCCGCCCGCCAGCGCGCCTCCAGGGACACCCGGGACAGACAGAGCATTGAGGAGAAGCGGTGCCCACAGAGAAGGGGCCCGTCCTCTGGGGGAAGGTCTGAGCAGCCCTGGCGCCCCCCTCCACGTCCAGGCCATTGCCAGGTCCCACGGGCTCTGCCCCTCCCCCCACCCGCCGCTCGAGCTCTGCTCCCCCACCCCCCGGGCTGCGTGGCCGGCTTCCCACGAGGTGCGTGAGCCGCCACAGGGGACCCGCCAGCTCTCGCCCGGCCCTAGGGGACCGGCCGGCATGGTTCTGTGCTTACCTTGAAGATACATCTCCTCGCCTTCCGCAAACATCCGGCCGCACCTGACGCATAGCGCGCACAAGGGGTGGTAGTGTTTCTCTCCGGCCTGTGGACAGAAGGGACGAGGGGTTTCTGCTGAAGGGACGGTGGCCGCAGCACAGCCGCACGCGGGATACTCAGACACGCCGAGGCTGGGCCGTGTCGCGTGTGCATCGGGGGCTCGCGGCCAGGGGGCGCTCCCAGGCCGTCCGGGGCGCTGAGTGGGGGGCCACGTCGGGGAGCAGAGGCCCAGCCGTACCGCCCGACGTGCCCAGGGAAGCAGGGCTTTCACCCTGTAGATCCTCACGAGGCAGGGCGGCCAGGTCCCCTCCACTCTGCAGCTGGGAGGGGGATGGCGGTGGGGGCGGCAGGGGGGAGGCCGGAGCTGCCGAGACTTCCCCAGGCCGAGGCACAGGATGGGTGGGGTGAAGAATGATGAAGCGCGGCCCCACCGTCCCTGTTTACTGTTCTTACAATTCCTAGCAGCCACTAAATTGGGTGAAACTATTAATACTGAAGTAACCTGAACACGTTATACTGGCTGGTTCAGCGTCATTCTACGCAGTGCAAAACGATCACCCCAAAATAGCGTACTCGGCACCCCTTGAGGGCGTTATGCTCAACCCCGGGGGAGGCGGGCTGCCAAGTGAGGTGCGGAAGCCGGCGTCTCGCTCTTTCCTAGAACGGGAAGAATAAGCACGGCTCCCGGGGTGTGAGCCGGTCATAACCGCTTCCCGAAGGAGCAGGTCGTGGGGAAAGGCATCAGGAACATGTCATCACCCTCCCCCTGACCACCGGCGCCTTCCGCGGAAGCCTGGCCCACGGTGACCACTCTCAGCGGGGAGGGATCCGGGGCGCTGTGCCCGCGGGCAGAGCACAAGAACGCTGCATCCTGGGTCTGGGGCCTCCAGAGACCCTCCCTGGGAGAGGGGCCCTGAACGCTCTCTGTCTCATCTCAGCTGTGCCTCCTCCTCCTGAAAGCCTCCCGGACACTCCTCCCTCCAGGGCTCCCACAGGTCCGTCTTCCCCACCAGACATAAGCCTGGGGGAGGGGGGCGGGGGGGCGGGCCCGGCTGTGGCCCCTCCAGGAACTGCTAGTGGTGGGGTCTGTTGGGGTAGCACACAGCAGCCCTGGCCCAGGCAGAACGAGGGCAAAGCACCCATTTCAGGGACTTAAATTTTTTTTTAATGTTTATTCATTTTTTGAGAGAGAGAGAAAGACAGAGCATGATCAGGGAACAGTCAGAGAGGGAGGGAGACACAGAATCCAAAGCAGCTCCAGGCTCCGAGCTGTCAGCACAGAGCCCAACGCGGGGCTCGAACCCACGAACCGTGAGATCATGACCTGAGCTGAAGTTGGACGCTCAAACGACTGAGCCCTCCAGGCGCCCCTAAATGATTTAAACATCGCAACTCCGGAACAGGCTGTGGGGTATACACGGGGTGTCTACATGCAGGTCTACACCTGAGTAGAAGGCGAGAGACAAATGGGCTGGTTTCTAAGACAACAGGCATGAAACTCTAACCAGAGAGATGAGAATTAGCGGGAGTGGAGTCGCAGCCCTGGGCGGCTGTGAAGGGGCCGGGCCTGCGTCTGAGCTCCTCTGCCATTGGGAAGCGATCCCGACATGCACCTGGCAAGGGCCCCCAGCCTCTAAAAAATAACAGCAACTCGGTGGCCGTTTCTATAGCTCGGGCAGAGCCCCTTGGTGCACTACCTCGTCTCCACTCTCCAGAAGCCCTGGGAGGCACATTATTTCCTCATTTTCTGCGTGGTGCACAGAGACGTGGAGGAAGCTGAGGAAGGTCACACAGCACACAGGAGGCAGAACAGCAGTGGAGCACAGGAGGCTGACCCTTTGTGGCCTCTCACCCCCAGCATGGGGGTCCTGGCTCCAGGGTGCTGGTCACAGAACGGATTGACGACCTCAGTTAAGAGCCGAAGCTATAAATCTCTGAGAGGAAAACATTTGAAATCGTAGATCTGATTAGGGCTTAGAACCCAGAATAAAGAGGTCTTACAGGCCAGCAAACAAGGAGAAAACCAGCCCGATGAGAAAATGGGCAAGCGACTGGAAGAGCCATTTTTCAAAGAGGCGCCAATGGCCGGGAAGCACACAGAAGGTGCTCGGCTTCGCTGTCACAGAGGAAGTGCAAATCCGAGCCCCAAAGAGAGGCTGCTCTACGCCCGTTAGGGCTGCTGTAATCGAAGCAAAACGGAGCCAGAGTGGGGAGTCAGTGAGGGCGAGGACGAGGAAGCCAGGGGCCCCGGTGCACCTGCGGCAGAGTGACTGGACCTTCGGCGCCATCGGAGCAAAGCCACGGCCCCTGCGCCCTCAGGCCTCTCCTCCCAATGACCACGCAAGAAAGGCCTCGAACGCCTGGGATGTCACCAGTGCAGCCCCCTAGCCCCCCCCACCCCGGGCAGATGGCCCAGCCCCTTGCCAGGTGCGACTCTTAAGATGGCTCCGATTTTTCAGAAGAATGTTAAAAGCTCATGAGATTTTTCAGTGCGTGGTTTTAAGATGTCTTGTGCCTTCTGACAAGCGGCTGCATCTTTAATGAGCTAGAACGGGGCTCATCAGGAACACAGGAACTCTGGCTCCGGGGGCACGCGGCAAACATGGTTCCTTACTCAGAACCAAGGGGGACCGGCACCGGGGGCTTGGGACAAGGTCTCTGGGCTCCACAAACCCCCGCACCCCCCTTCCACACCGGGCCACGGCTGCCAGAGGGACAGCCATTGACCGTGACTTGCCCAGCACGTGTGGGGCAGGTGACCCCTCTTCCCGTGGATTCCAGACTGTGGGTGGCCGGGCCTGGGCTGCACTGAGTCCCCCCAGCCGGCCAGACAACCCCCCGGGGGCCACGCATCTACATCCGCCTGCCCGATTCAAAGCTTGAGTTTCCTTGTCGACTGGCTGGAACCAAATCCAGATCTTAAAAGACCTTAAATCACCAGCGTGCGCCGGCATCATGAAATCTACCTCAAGCTAAACAAATCCTTCCGCCGGAGCCATCCGGATGCTTCCAGGACTTCCCGGAGCGGCTCTCCACACTCCCACCCTCCAGGAGCTACCTCTCCGCGAGGAGAGCCCAGCTCCTCGCCAAGGCAGGCCAGGCCCAGGGCCGTCTGCAGTCCCCTCCCCGGACCCCCCCAACCTCACCCCTGCCTCTCTCCCATTGCTGACCCCATGTGCTCACACTCAGGGTGGAAGGCGTGTGGCCAGGCTGACCCTGCTCCCCCCCCCGCCTCCCCCTTTCCCACCATTGAGCTCCATCTTGGTCATGCACTTCAGGGACGTCCCCTTGTTCTCCACGGTCCCCAGGCCCTGGAGCCGAGCCACATGCAGGAGTGGGGTCCCACAGAGACAGGCTGTTCCTAAGCGGTCCCTACAGGACCAGAGGAGGGTTCGGACGAAACGAGTGTGGGGACAGATGGATCATCTGCTGCACCTTCGGGCACACTCACGGGCGTATCGGCATAGCCCGGCTCTAATAAGCCCTCAGCCAAGGCGTCTGCTCAGTGCCCTTGCCCGACACTTCAGACCCAGACGACCAGGGGACACGAACCCAGCAGCGTGGATGCTGTCACAGGCCAGTGGGAAGGGTAAGGCCCCAAGCGGGGGCGTGGTATCAGGCTAAGAGCAAGTCAGCATACACTGTGTGTGTCTGCGTGTGTACCTGTGTGTGTCTGCGTGTATCCGTGTGCACCTGTATCTGTGTGTATATCTGTGTGTGTGCGTGTGTGTGCGTGCGTGCCTGTGTGCATCTGTGTGCACAATCTACACTGGTGAGCTCTAAGAGCTGACAGTGGTTTGTCTGGATGACGGCATTCATTGCGATTGAGTTTTCAGTTTATTCTATGATAAGCAGGTATTCCTTCTGAATATGCTTTTTAAATAAACACATTCATTAAACTGCAAAAACAGAGAGAGGAGTTAGAGCCTTGGGAAGTTGACTTTGCTTCTGTCCTGAGATCATGCTTTTATTTCTTTGGAACATTCGGTTTATTTTCTCCCCGTGATAAGTCACACCTGCTTAGGAGGGGAAAATGGAAGCCGCCAGAGAAAGCAAATAGCTGATGTCCTGTAGAGGCAGGGGATGGTTTATTTGAAATGCAGACATGTTTCGCTGGCTGCCTGACCAGGGCTCCTGGGGTGGGGGAGGCATAGAGCCCAGCCTCCAGTCCAGGACACGGGTGGGGACACAGTGAATGTTCAGAGGGTCTGTAGGTGAGTGGTGGGTTGAGGAGGAGGGAAAGAAGGGGAGGCAGGCAGGGGGAGGGAGGGAGGGAGGGAGGAATTAATTAGTGGGCCCAGAGGTACTTTGGGCTTCTGGTTACCATGGAGACAGGCAGGCTGCACCGGGAGGCGGGGCTCCCACGGCAGCCAGGCAGGTAATTAAGGAGGGCAGGGCCAGTCCCCGCCCCCACCCACTCCCACCTGCCCCCACCCACTCCCACCTGTGCAGGGCAGCATTCCAGCCAAGGGAGAACGAGGCAGGGCTGGGTGACGCTGAGGACTGAGGCAGGGACTCTCCCTCACTCTGCACCCCCTCAGCAAACTCTGGTCTAGTTAACACGCTATCCCTGGCCGCGATTCTTCAGCCACCTTTTAGCTCTTTCCCTGGAGCCAGCCCTGCAGGGGGCCGCCCTGGGGGGGGGGGCGCCCCTGCCCCCACACCGTAGCCCTTCCCACCCTCCCCGATGTCCATCTCGGCAGTAGGGTGGGGGCAGGCAGCCCCTCCGAGTCCCCACCAGACCCAGGGCTCCTCCGCCTGCACCCCTGCATGCAGCAGCTACACGCAGGGTTCTAGAAAACATGCGGAAGGGGAGGCTTCACATTCAGGAGCAGCTAAGGAGGCGGGAGGAAGGGCCCCGCTGTCGCCACGGAGCGCACATGTCAGGGGTGGACAGGCAGGCTCGGGCGCCTGGCACTGAGACGGCACTCTGCCCACCGCACACAGACGCGGCACAGACTGATGGCTCCGCTGGCGGGGAGGGGGGTCTGGGCTGCTCTCCGGCTCGGGCTCCGGGGAGAGGGAAGCTCTGAGTGTGACAAGCATCTCGCGGGAGGGCTAAACGGGGTGTGGGGATGACAGGTGCGTCAGAGGGTCTCACCGGCTGATCTGGCCCAGCTCCTCGCACGCCCACCCCCCTGCAACCCGGCACAGCTCCTTCAGCCTCCCCATCAGCCCTCGGAAGCGCCCGGCCAGGCTCCCTACCTGCACGGCGTCCTCGCAACAGAGCCCAGTCCTGGCGGCCGGCGCCCACCGCCCCTCTCCAGCGCCGCGCCCCAGGCAGGTCGGCTGGAACGGACCGTGTGACCGTGAGGACGGACACCCTCAGCCTTCAGCCGGCGGTCTGGACCCTCTTTCTTCTTTTTCAGATCCGGCTGCCGGCCGCCGGCCGCCCCCAAGAGCCCACCGCCCACCCAGCCGGGCGCCGGCGCGCTCCGGGCCAAGTTCAGGCAGCACCGCGGCGCGGCTGCTCCCCTTCTGCGGAGCCGGCTCGTCTCTGCCGCCCGCAGCTGCCACCTCGCGAGGAGGCTGCTCAGAGCTTCGCAGAGCCCGCCGCCGACTCAGCCCCGCCAGGGAACTCGGCGACGGAGACAAAAGCATTAATCTTCCCCGCGAGGCCCTTTATCCTCCACCGCTGACGAGGGGGGACGCCCAGACCTGTTCTTCTGTTCTTCACAACTAGGATGGTCCCTTCCTGATGACACACTGGATGCACCGGAGGGGCGCCGTTCACAGGCGCCGAACCCACAGTCTGTACTTGGCGCAGCGCTAAGTCTCAGGCGCACACGGGGCAGATGGGGTCACCTTTCCCCCCAGATCCACGCAGGGGAGCCCTGCTGATTGCTGGTGACAATGAGGAAGCCCCTGGCCCCCATCATCTACCACGGGGCCAGCACTGGGCCGGCGGACACCTCACAGATGCCGTCTCATTGAGTCCCTGAGGCTCTGGAGCGTTCTCTCGACCCGCAGTGTTTGCTCAGGGCAGGCAGCAGGGTTTGAGTCAAGCCTCCATCCCCGCCCCGGGGCGCAAGCCCACGGATGGCAGGAGAGAGGCTGGGTCCACACGCGTGCCATAGGAACAGCCCAGCCCCCCCCGGGCCCGAGACACACCCCGCTTTCGGCCGTCGAGTATCACAGGGGGCACAGACGTAACACAAAGTGCAAACCAACGCTCACACACGGGTGGGGGGGGCGGGGGGGCGCCAGGAGAGAGCGGAAAGTCCAGACCAAACGCAGCAGGGAACAGAGAGAAAGGATTTGAACCACTGGCAGCGGGGCAGGTGCGGTACTGTCCCCAATATTTATAGCGCCTTGCAGAACCCCAGAGACGGCATAGCCTCCACCCACAGATTCGAGGGCGTGAGTATAAACGTCACGTGCGACCAGCACCAAGATAACAGGTGAAACAGGCCCTCAGACTAAAGGGCAACAGTTTGGTCACGTGACCCGCACGCCCGAGGAGCTGACGACCACGAAGACGCCACGTGTAAGCAGGCAGCGCACGGAAAGTAGCTATAATGCAGGCATTGGGGTCCACTCAACCGTCAGGAAGACCAGCTTCAAGGGCTGGAAGAAAGTCACAAGAGCGAGTGGAGCCCACGCTCCCAGCTGCCCCACCGGCTCAGAATCTACATAAAGACCACACTCGCCGCGGGGGGTGGGGACACCGAGCTCCACGGAGGAGAGGGCAGATTACAATGATCTTTCCGGAAAGCATTTTGTAAGCATCAGGACTCTTGTAAAGTTCTTAGTTGTTGACTGAGCACCGACGTTTCTGGGAATAAATCTTAAGAAAAATTAGAAATGAAAAAAAAAAAAAAAAAAAAAAAGATGTTCATCTCAGTGTTGTTTATTGTAGTAAAAAAAAACAAAAACAAAAACAACAACTACGACGCAGTGCTACGCCCGACCAGAAACCAGCGGCCTAAGACAGCGCAACACCAAACACGCTTGCACACCGATGGGCCTAGAAAACCCCGGCCCGTGAGCAAGCGGCCCGTCGCGCAGGGCCACGCGCCGTCCGACCCCCTTCATGTGAATGTGCACAACAGGGAAGTCTAGAAGGGAGCCCGCAGTGTCAGGGCCGGGACAGGCTCTCCTCGAGGTGCTGGAAACAGCAGCACAAAGTGCGTGCATCTCCGCCCATCCTGACAGCCCGGGAGGCACACGTTCAAGGGGTCACCTGTGCCGCACGTGACCTGTGTTCCAATCCAGCGGTCTAACGCAAGGCCCACCTGAATGGGCAGCGGGCGCTGAGGAGGGCTCTTGTTGGGGCGAGCACTGGGTGTCGTATGTAAGCGATGCATCACGGGAATCTACCCCCAAAACCAAGGGCACCCTGTACACACTGGATGTTAGCCCACTTGACAATAAAGTACATTAAAAGGTAAATAAAGATTAAAACATTTTAAAAAGCCCATCTTACAAAACAAAAACAAAAACAGGGGAACCTGCCCAACAGGAAATGCGACCTGGACAAAACCAGAACATAACGCTGTGCAAATGGTTTGCTCTCAACTATAATTACACCAAGAGAGAAAAACCCGGAAGGAAACCAGCCAAGAAGTGAAGCACAGGAAGCCTGCCTGCCCCGTGGCCGCTGTGTGACTGGGCCCACAGCGGGGGCCACTCCGGGCTTCCTGTGGGCACACGGTCCTGCCTCCTGGGCTCCCTTCCACTCCCCCAGGTCTCACACCCCCATCTAGAGGCGGAAGGGCTGGACCCAGATCTCAACCCTTCCCACCAACCCCATCAGCTTGCGGAGGGCATAGGAGAGAACGTCCGGGGAGGGCTTCCTGGAGGAGGTGGCCCTCAGCGAGCGGGTCCCGGAAGGCTGAGAGGAACGAGGAGGCAAAGGCCAGGGGCGCATATCCTTGCACACGCACGCAGGAACGTGGGGCGCCATGGGAAGCACGGAGCAGGACCGGACCCAGAGCCCAGCGGGCGCCCGGAGGCTCACTCACCTCCAGCACGTGCCCCGTGATGTACTTCTCACAGCCGTCGCAGCGGATGCCGAACTTGGTGTGGTAGTCGGCCTCGCAGTAGGGCAGCCCGTCCCTGCAACGAGATGAGCAGTCAGGACATGCGGGGGGTTCACCCCGGGGCCCCCGAGATCTCACAACGAGAGGGACCACGTCAGAGGGCAATGCCCCCTTCCTCCTGCTCCAGATGAGCCACGGCAGTGTTTCCTGGGCACTTCGGGCCACGGCACACCGCCTCCACCACCGCACCAGCCCCACAAGAAACACTGGGAAGATGGGCCCATTTCACAGGGGCAGAAAACTGAGGCACGCAGAGGCAGGGAGCCGCGGACCCAGCGGCTGAGCATCTCTGGAGGCTCAGCTGAGGAAATAAAAGCCACATCTGGGAAATTGAAGACGTTTCCGCAGTTGTGGCTCTGGTTTCCGGTTCATTCTGTCCCACATTCAGCATCTGGGTGGGAAGCGGCTACTCACTCAGCAGGTGGCTTCCTACGCCCTCCCAAAGGGGTCTGGGCTGCCCTACACAATCTCGGGCCACAAAGGGCGTGTGACGAAGGTGCCCCCATCGGGCCTGGCACTTGTGCTGGGTTGGTCCCAACCCTCACTGTCCCCGGCTGTGGGGGCAGAGGCATCTGGCTGCGCGGGAGGGAGCGGGAGGGCCGCTCTGCACGCGTATCTACAGGGTGCCCGCCGCTCAAATGCCATGGCCCAGCCGTGTGTCCCTGGGCGGGTCCCTGAACCTCTCTGCGCCTCAGCTTCCCCAACTGTAAAATGGGAGAGGTTATGGGAAGATCTGAAGAAGAGAAGGTGTGGCCAGCGCCTAGCACGGGGCAGGCACTCGCGATTTGGTGGCCGAGGCCGCTGTCCTTGCTAACCAGGGCTGCCCCTCTGCCCCTCGGCCCCTCGGCCCGGCCCAGCGGGAGTCGGGTGTGGAGGCCACGGGCACGCGGGGCGCCTGCCGCCCCTGTGAATCTCCCCCCACCGCTGAAGCCGCCGCGTTCCTCCCAGTTGGGCTGTGATTGGTCTACAGGTTTACAGGCGCCGACAGAGTAAGATTTCTCCAGCTGTCAGGAGACACGGCTGATGCCGTCCTGCCCTCAAAGCTCGGGACCCCCTGTGGGTCCCATGGCTCCAGGCAGGAGGCACAGGGTGGTGGAGGGTTCGACACCCCCGGGGCTGGGGTGCAGGCTGTGTCTCCAACCACAGCCTCAGAGAGGACGAGCCCTTCCTTCCGGGGTGGGGGGTGGGGGGGGACATTGACATTGAGCCTCCAGGTCTACTTTCAAATGCTGCTGACCTCGGGGACCCTGTTACTCCCACCAGGAATGGTTGTGCCCAGAACCCAGGAGGTTCAAAGATCACGTGTCTATGGTGACAGCAAGGCAGCCTCTCATCAGTTCTGGGACAGGGCTGGAGGCTGCTGAGTGACAGCGTGCGGTGTGGGTGGGCTCCCACGGCAGCCAGCGCGCTGGGGGCTGGGCACCCGATTTTATCTGCAAGGGCTCGGCCCCCGGGGCTGCCTGCATGGACTCGCTCACCCCCTTCCTTTCCTAGGACAGAGGCGTGGCCGGTCCCTCCCCCGCCCGAGATCAGCTGGGACGGAGGCTCTTCTCTGCTTGGGGACTTTAACTGAAAACGCTCTGTTTTGACAGAGGTGTGCACTCACATGCAGCTGTGAGAATCGACACAGAGGGGACCCTGCGGGCCCTTCACCCCCGTTGCCCCAGGGGTGGCCTCGTGCAGAGCGGCTGGGAGACGGTTGCGGCACGTGGGCGACGCCCGCAGAGCCCCCTCTCTTCAGGAAGGAGCCTGCCTGTTTCCCCTCACCCCTAACTCTGTGCCACAGGGGGGCTCCCCTGACTCAGTCCACCGATCCCGGCACACACACCCCTTCCCGGAAACCAGCTGCTCCCACTCCTGCTGACTCACCCCCCCAGGGGCTCCCGCTGCTCTGCCTTATGGTGAGACACACCTTCGATCCCCCCCCCCCAAACCAGCCTCCACTGCATCCGGGCTGCATGCCTGGGGACATGGGGTCGGCCGGGGGGAGCTGCCCGGTGCCCAGGGACCGTCACACACGCGGCAGCGCGGGGCTGAGTCACCACCTCAGCGACAGCGGAGCTGGTCAGCCCTCTCGCCCCCACCCCTGCTGCTGCGGGCAGCCAGCGTCCACTGTGCGCTCAGCAGGCGCTCCAGGCGCCACGGGGTGGGGGGGGCACCCAGGGCCGGGTGCAGAGAGGCAGCTTACGAAGGTGGGGGCCACGGACTCTGCTTCGATCCACAGAACCCTCCAGAGGCGAGGCTGGTGGGAGGGGGCGCCGGGCGGGGACACAGGTACGCCGGGGGACAGTCAGCGTGGGGCGACAAGGGAGGGCGTCACTCACTTGCTGATGTACTCGGCGTCCAGCTGCTTCCCGCACGCCTCGCACTTAAAACAGCCCAAGTGCCAGTGCTTGTCCAGAGCCACCAGGGACTGGCCATTCTTAATCTCGGTGCCGCAGCCCCCACAGCCTAGAAGAGAGAACAGGACACTCACACCGTCACTGTGGCCAGGGGGCGGGGTGGGGGGGGGAACCGCTGGGTCTCCATGAACAGAAGGCCTGCAGCCTGCCTGGGGGAGGGGACGGAGGGGGCAGCCCAGCCGGCTGAGCCCGAGGGACCCTGCCACACGCCAGCCAGTGCACGCGTGCGAAACACAAACCATGAGGTGCCTCCCTGCAGGCATTGAGCACTGACTGTGTGCAGCCTGGGCTGGGAGCAGACGGAGCCCTGCCCTGCGGACGATGGCGCGGGGGCCTGGCAGCGGGCGTGTCCTCGGACAAGAGGGCTCCGCAGGGTGGGGGCCCCTGGGGGGGCAGCGGTCTGGGGGCCCCATCTGTCCTCCTCGGTCTTGAAGTAGACTGGACCTAACTGACCCGACCGCCGGCCCCCTGAGGAGATTAGGGGGGTCTGAGCTGTCACCTCTGCCGTCCCTTCTGGGATCTCGCTGCCCCCCCGCCCCTCCCCGGAAGCCCCTGCCTGCTCAGTGGCCCCCCGGTCCCAGGCCCTCCCCTCAGCGCGAGGGCCTCCGGAGCCTGAGTGTCACCCGCGCTGAAGGACGATGGGGACGAGCAGGCCAGGCGAGCTGCACAGACAGCGGCAGCATCGCCTGACTGGGGTGCGTGTGCAAGTGTGCAAACCACGTGACCGTGTGCGTGAGAATATTGTATGTGTCTGTGTATATTTGTGAGCGTCTATGTGTGTGTGCATAGGACTGTGTGTGTTTCGGTATGAATGTGTCCCTCTATGAGTGTGTCTATACGTGTGTCTGTTTGTCTATGTGAATATGTCTGTATCTGTGTGTGAACACATACCTGTGTGTATATCTCTGTGTGTGTGCGCACGTCCCTGTGTGCCTGTGTGAGCACGTATCTATCCGGGTGTGTTTGTGTGTGTCTCTGGGTGTCAGATGCACATCCTTATATGTGTGTCTGTGTGTATGTACGTATCTGGGTGTGTGTCCCTGTGTGTATTCACGCGTGTGTGTTTATGTATGCGCACGTGCATCCCTGTGTGTATATCTGGGTGTGTCAGACACACATCCCTGTGTGTGTGTCTGTGTGTCTACATATCTGGGTGTGTGTGCATGTCCCTGTGTGTGTGCGAGCACGTGTGTCCCTGTCCCTGTGTGTGTGTCCCAGTGTGCACGCGCATGTCCATGTGTGTGTGCCCATGTGTGTGTGTGTGCCCGTGTGTGCACGCGCATGTGTGTGTGTGTGTGCGCGCGCGCGCACATATCTGGGCAGGGCCTGGGCCCGCAGGTCCTGAGGAGCAGAGACAAGGCACCTGGCATCTGGCAAAGGCGCCCACGGCCCAGCAGCCCCTCAGGAGCCCACCGTCCCGGGCTCGCCCGAGGGGGTCGGGCAGAGCAGGGACCCCGCTCCCCAAGGTGGAGGGGGCAGCCCAGGGCGCAACAGGCCCCGCTGTTCACGGGGCCACACCGGGCCAAGCCCTGTCCTCTCCGGGCCCCGTCCCCTCCCGGGGGGGTGGGGGGGCCACCCCATTAAATGACACCCCGAGCAGGCCAGACACAGGGCGGAAGGGGACGGTGGGGGCCCCGAAGATGCTCTTCTGGGCAGACGGCAGCGTCATGCTGTGTTCAGAAAAAAACACTCAACGCCCACAGAGCCGTTGGTCAGGCTCTGGCTCTTCCTAAATTATCACGCTGCTCCGATCCGCGAGCCAACCCCGGACCGAACGCCCGAAGAACACAGTGAGGCTCCAAGACCCCAGGTGCGGGGGACGCCGGGCCCACGCACGCACGCACGCACACACGGGTGAATGAATGAGTGGGGACCGCGAGAACACCCTCCTTTCTCAAGCTCAGGAGGCACCCAGCGCCCGTCCCCAGCCTGCGACCTCCGCGGGTCCCCAGCAGTGCAGAGACAACACGCTGGCCCTTTCTGGACGCCCGCGGGCTCGCCCTGTAAGCTCCATGTCACCGCCTCTCCCCGGGGGACACCTGGCAACACACTCTCTTGACTGTCCCCGCTGGAGGGGGCATGCCCCAGGCCCGGGGAGTGGGGGGCGAGGCCAGGGGCACGCTCAGCACCCTGGGGCACGCAGGAGCGTCCCACCGCCCAGAAGCATCCAGCCCCAACTGTCAGTGGCATCAGGGTCGAGAAACCAGGCTCAGAGCCTTCGTTTGCTTCTCTGTAAACGGGCCAAGCGAGGGAGCAGGCCACGCGGCATTGTGTCGAGGTCTGGGGGCAGGGGGGAAGGGTGGAGCAGTAGTTAGAAGCATGGCCCTTGGAGCCAGGCTGCCCCCTCGGCTGTGCGACTGTGGGCTGGTCACTTGGCGTCTCTGTGCCCAGTGCAATCGGGATGCATCCTAGGGGGCTAATAGCCCAGGCTCACACTCTTGATATGAGGCTGAGAGGAGCCAACGGCGACGGGCCGTGGGTGTTTGATAACCGAGTAAACACACAAGAGGCGGAACGCTGTGACGCGGGAAGCTATCTGAGGACATCGCCAACACCGCCACTCTGCCTGCCACTGCACTGGCGCATGCCCGGCCCCAGGGGAGGGTCCGGGAGAGTGTGCCAGCCTCGTCCGCAGGAGGACGGGGACCTCACACCCAGCCCAGTGCGCCTGGGGCACAGTCTTGCTAATAGCGGGCTGTGAACTCGAGGCGAGAGCGCGGACAGGGAGGGCTGTTGCCATGGAAACAGTAATCGCCACTTTCTAAACACAACTGCACAGCTTTGCGGACGACACTACAGAATCCCGTGTGATGAATCCTGCTGACAACAGCTGTCAGCAAAGGGGACTGGCTCTGCCGTCGCAGCAGCAGGCTGAAACTGGGCCACTGCCCCAGCGTGACCTTTCCAGAAAGTTCCAAACAGCTTCCCGTTTCCCCCAAGGTGCTCCCTCCTCTGGCAGATATGGTCATGAGGCCTTCAGCTCTGCCGCTAACTTGCGTGGGCACAGGACGTGCAGGGTGGACCCTCGAACCCCAGCTGTGAATGGGGAGGAGGCCACGGTCATGGGGTGCAGACCCACCCTCACCCACTGCCCCCCAGGTCAAACCGGGTCAGGGAGCTGAGAAGGGATCTGAGTTGAACCTGAGATTGACTTTTGAAAGCATGGAGCCGAGGGTCGCTTGGGCGGCTCAGTCAGTTAAATGTCCAACTTTGGCTCAGGTCATGATCTTGTGGTTTGTGAGTTCGAGCCCCATGTCAGGCTCTGTGCTGCCTGCTCGGAGCCTGGAGCTGCTTCAGGTTCTGTGTCTCCCTCTCTCTCTGCCCCTCCCCTGCTCACATGCTGTCTCTCTCTCTCAAAACTAAACACTAAAAAAAAAAGCATGAAAGCATGGAACTAACTGAGTTCTAAAACTTAAAAATGCCTGACCCGTTCTGAGCGGGGCCTGTCATTTCTCTGAAAGCTGGAACTGAGCGGAAGAGCCTGGAGCAGCGGCCGGGAGAGAGAAACCGCGATCAAGTGAGCCCCAACGCACCGGGCTCAGCGCTGAGCGGGCGACCCCCACCCTGACTGCAGCGCGGGGGTGTGAGGCGCAGGGCTGAGGGCGTGTTGTCTCCTGGGGGCCGCAGCACCCCACAAGGCATCCCCACCCAAGGCAGAGGCACCCCATTAAGGACACAAAGCAGCCACCGGACCCCAGCAGGCACACAGCCTTCCGGAGTCAGCCCCTTCCCTGGGCCACGGCTCTGGGGGAGCCTGGGAGCTCCACGGCCCCAAGCTCACCCCTGAGCACCTGACCAGTGCGGCCTCTTTTGGCCAGAAGACGTGGAAGCCCAAAGGGTCACAGACTTTGAGTCTCAGACGGAAGGGCTGTGGCCCCTTACGCCCTCCCCCCTTCCTGCTGGGGGTGCACCACCCCTCCTGGCTCTGGAGGGGCCTCCAGGTCCCAGCTGCCAGTGTGACCCCAGGTTCTAGGTGTGAGCTCATCTGCGCCCCGTAGGGCTGAGCCCAGCTGGAAAGGCACAGACCGGGGTGGCTAGGGGGTGGGGGGCCCTGGGGCTCCTCAGCTGGGACAAAGCAGCCCTCCACTCCACCCCCACTTCTGCCTGTCCCGTCCCAGACCACAGCCACACCCAGATCCCAAGGCCCAGAGAGGGGACACAGCTCGCCCAGGACACGCCTCGGGGGAGTGGCACGCTTCGCCCAGGGCAGCAGGGCTCAGGGCCACCCCAGGGGCATGGCACGGGGTCCGTGCTAGACCAGCAACCAGTTCAGAGCCGGAGGCTGGGGTGGCAGGAGCCCAGGGAAGGAGACCCCGCTCGGGGCAGCGGGGGAGGCGGCTCCGGGCAGAAGCTATTGTGCAAGATTCACGCGCAGCGTCTCCTCCAGGGATGGAACCGCGTGGGCGTCCAGTGCACAGCGCTTTTCCCGTTACTAAGCAACAGGCACAGGGCCAGACAGTGGAAGAGGGACGCTGAGGGACCGCAGAGCCCCAGGACTCAGCAGCCACCCAGGGAAAGGACGCTTCCCCCTTCCACCCGCTGCAGGGCCCCCCTCGGCCGCTCCCCCAGCCCCTCAACCCCCCAACCTGCGGGCAGACCCCGCTGCTCGAGCCCCTCTTGGCATCCCTCACGCAACAGCCACCTATGGCTCCTCGTTGCTCCAGGATGCAGTGGGACTCCTCGGCATGGCTTTGCCGTCGGTTTCCATCTCTCCCGCTTCATTCTGTCCCTCGTCCCCACGCAGCAGCCACCCCCCGCCCCCCGTCCACTCACAAGGATCTGGCGGCCGCCCACAGCGCATTCCACCTTCTGCCTGTTCCGTAGCGTCTTCCCTTCAATGTCCACCTACCGGAGCCTGTGTTTCAAGTTTCAGAACAAAGGCCACCTCCCTCCAAAGCATCTGGTCGCGGCAGGGCGCGCGCCACTGTGCAGGAGTCTGAAGCCCTTGGCTGGAGCCTCAGCCGAGTACGAGCACGGGCACCGGGCTCCTGGCACACACCCACTTCCCCGCCTGACTCAGGGCGCTTCTGAGGAGAGGGGGCATCCTCCTGGCAGGACTGCTCTGGGGACACAAGGAAGCAGGAGTGAATCAGGAAGGTTCTGCAGACCCCACACAGGAGCCGAGAGCTGGTGCTGAACGTTTAACACTTCCCAGGCACCAAAAGGTTCTAAGCGGGAGATTCTCACTGTGGACTGGAGAAAGGGGCCAGTTACGTTATTGGACCATGTGGGGGAGGGGGGTCAAGGGAGCAAGCATTTGTTCCCTAGAAATGTAAATTTTTAGTATTTTAAAATACATTTACATTTGGAAAGGGCAGAGCCTTTTAACACTCAAAAAATTCTCAGACAAGGAATCTGTAGTCAGGCACGTTTCTCTTTTTACTCTGGCTGCCAGGGAGCTCTGGACAAACTGTTCAAACTAATCTCCCGCCTTTCTAATTTTGCTTGTTAGAGCTTTTGATTACTATTTCTGGTTTAATTGTAATAGTATTGATCGTGAAGCAAATCCCCAGAAGTCCAATCAATCTGGACCTCAGCGGGAGAGAAAGTTTTGGGTAGAGGACTCTCCCAGCAAAGCCCCAAGGCAACAACCTCACCAACCGGCGCGGCTGCTAGCTCGCTTCCCCAGGGGTGAAGGCTTGGCCTCCCTTCGCAGAGTAAAACGACTGCCAGACCCTGCAGCACCGAGCTTCTGGAAGGCCGGAGGTGCCCTCTCTTCTGGAGAGATTTTCAACGCACAGACAAGGTGGATGAACAGGAAGAAGGTGCTTAATGGGGGAGGGGTGGAGGGAGTGGGAACGAAGCGTGAGCACGGGGACGGGGGCATGAGACCCTGGACGTCTGCACAAAGTCCTCCTCCGTGGAGGGACACCGCGGGGACTGTGGCATGCGGTCGGTGGGGGGGCGATGGGGGGCTCGGAAACTCCATTCCTGCCCCGGGAGCCAGGCAGCAGCAGGCCGGGGAGTGCCGGGCACCCCTTCCCAGTCCCTGCGCCCCAGGTCCGGCCCAGAAGAGCCGGGAGCTTCAGAAGGCCAGCCCCCGCCTGCCTTGCCATTTGTTCCTTTACAACCTGCTCTGCAAGCGACAAGCATACATTGAGTACCTGCTGCATACAAATCCCGGCCTAGTTTGGGGGAGGGTGTGGAGGTGTGGAGCAGTTAACCCGGGAGCCCCTGACCTCAGGAACCCAGAGTTCAGTGCTCTCCTAACGGCTCCCCCAAAGGGCTTCCGGAAGGTTTAGAATTCTCTGTGGAGCTCAATGTGAGGGTGCACGCTGGAGGCAGAGGACCGGAGGAGGCCAGGAGGCTTCCTGGAGGAGGCAGGCTGAAGTTGGGCTGAAAGCAGGAGTGGCGTGGAGGGGTGGGGGGCACGGCTGGGCAAACGCTTGGAGGCGCGGGAGCGCCGGAGACTTCTGTCCCCGGTTCCCTTCCTGTGTTTGTCCAGTCGCCGGTGCACTCCCACGGCCTGTGCCCCGGGTCCGTGTGGTCAGGCCGCCCCAGACACCGCGGACGCCAGCCACCCCCCCCCCATACCGCTCGGTGCCCACTTACTCCAGAGGCCCTGGGACAGGTGCACACTGCCACCCGCTGTCTTGGGCAGGGAGCACTTCTGACACACGCATTCCTTCCCGTTGAAGGTCACTCGGTCCCCAGGCGGGAAGGGCAACCTGAAATAAGAGAACACGTGACCAGCCAGACTCGCCTCTGGCTCTGCCCCTGGGGTGGGGGACCGAGACGCCCCGCCCCACAGTACACCCCTGCCTCCCCGGGGCCCTGTGCAGACAGGGGCCGCAGGCTGAGGACACGCAGGGCCTCCCCGTCCCGCTGTGAGCACAGGCCAGTCACCCATACGTAAGCCTCAGTTTCCTCTCTGTGCAGACAGGCAGAATGGCAGCGCCCTGGCGAGGGGCAGCGAGGGTCAGCCCCGTGCGTGGCTCACAGCAACCAACCAGGCAGTCCTGACCGCTCCCTCCTCCTCTGGCTGCCTGGGGTGCTTTGTCCAAATCAATTCAATGATAATGGCAGCAGCTAGCATTTATTAAACGCCTACTGTGTGCCAGCTGCCAACAACTCACATTTATTGAACACTTACTGTGTTCCACATATTACCATAGATGCCTCACATGCACGTCTCATTTAATAACTTTAGGACATTTGTCCAAGCTGGAATTCGTTTCATTTTTTTTCTCTCTAGGTGAGAAAACTGAAGTTCAGAGAGGATAGTTAACTTTTCCAAGGACACACAGCAGCTGCATGTCAGAACCAGGGTCAAACCAAGACCTATCTGGCTCCAGAGCTCCATGATTTACCTCCTCGGGCCTCTAAAAAGCCAGTGCCATGTATATGCCTTGTAGACGCCCAGGTTGGGTACATTCTATCCCATCTTTACTTAAGTTTGCCATTTTGCTCCTTGTGGGGTTTTTTTTGCATTAATTTTTTATAATACCACATTGAACTATTCATCTACCTTGATTGCTGAGTTTTTTGGCACTCGCTGAAATTCTGCATCCAAAGTGAGTCCCAGCCCCAGTGCAAGGTGGGTCATGGCCCTGGGCTGCCCCGAGCCGGGCTGGAAGGGGGCAGCAAGGAGCCTCCCGGCTTCCCTCGCTGAGGACTTCCCCTCCGGGAAGGTGGCTGCTGTCTGGTGACCTAGGGACAGGCCACCTGCAGTCAGGGGCCAGAAGACCAGCCTGACTGTCCCGCCCATGTCACCTGCTGCCTCCGAGCTCCTGGCAGCCCCGGGGCCACTTTCCTTCCCCAGCTCAGCCTGGCCAGAGAACTGGGCCAGTAGCTTCCAGAATTCTCTGGACCAGCACCTGCCCTTTCCTCTCATTGAACCTCTGTTGTCTCCTCTGCCTTCTCAGTGCCAGACACTCCACGGCACACCCTAGGCACTCAGTAGGCACTTGGTAGTGAGTGGATGAGTGAGTGAACGAGTGAAGGACCGGAGGCCCCCAGGAGGCCTAGCTCAGCCACCCTCTCCTGCCTGGCCCCTCCATGAGGCCTGCCCGGTCACACCTGTCCCAGACCAGCCCCAGCCCTGCAGCACGTGTCCCCGCAACAGAGCCCGTCAGAGCCCTCCCCTCACCCCCATGCAGCCAGTGTTCATCCAGCAGGTGTGTTCTGGGGCCTCCATCGGGCCAGCCCCCCCTTGGGGACCAAGAACAAATACAGGCTGAGCCGGCCCACCTGCCCAGACCTGTGAGCCAGCTCTGCAGACCTGGCGGCTCAGGGCCCGGGACCTTCACAGGTGTGCTGTGTCCCCGGTGGCCAGCTCTGCTCTGCTGCTCTCTCCTAGGCTCTTGCAGCTGGCCTGGTAATGTGGGGTGCTGGGACAGAGTGGGGATTCCTCACCTTCCCTGAAGGTGCACTAGCAGGGTCTCTGGCTGCGTAACCCAGAGCAGGTCATTTACCCTGTCTGAGTTCTGTTTCTCACCTGTGAAGTGGAACTGATAATACCTGTCTCATCGGGCTACTATTCATCCAGCCATGCATCTGTCCGTCCGTCCATCCATCCATCCATCCATCCATCCATCCATCCCCACCCACATCCACCCATGCATCTATGCATCCATTCATCCATCCCTCCCTCCCTCCATGCATGCATGCATGCATCCCTCCATTCCCACCCATATCCATCCCTCCATTCCCACCCACATCCATCCATCCATCCATCCATCCATCCATTCATTCCCACCCACATCCATCCATCCATCCATCCATCCATCCATCCATCCCTCCCTCCCTCCCTCCCTCCCTCCCTCCATGCATGCATGCATGCATCCACCCATTCCCACCCATATCCATCCATCCATCCCCAACCACATCCATCCATCCATCCATCCATCCATCCATCCATCCATCCATCCATTCATTCCCACCCACATCCATTCCCACCCACATCTATCTATCCATCCATCCATCCATCTACCACCCATCCATCCTTCCTTCCATCAGACAAACTGCATGGAAAGCTCTAGCATACTGCCTGGGACCAGGAGGGGCTGAATAAATAATAGCTATTACTGTATTAGCTCAACTTTATTGAAATATACTTTGACAAAGGTGCCCATTAATGTTATCAACACCCGTATCGTGATCCATCCACTGCAAAAAGTCCCCTGTGATTTTCTATAATGCCCCTCCCCTACCCTTCACCACCACCACCCCTGGCCCCAGACAATGGTGGTGGACATTCTGTCACCATGGATTGGATATGCCTTTTCTGGAAATGCATATGCATGGAATCACACAGGATGTAGTCTCTGATGTCTGGTTCAGCATCCTGCCCCCGACATTCACTCACATGCTGCACCCATCAGTAGTTGCCCCTTGTTACTGCTGACTTGTGCTCCCCCGGACAGCTGAGGGACAACACAATTCCATTCACTGTTGACGGACATTTGGGTTCTTTCTGGTCTGGGGCTGTTACAAATAAAGCTGCTAAGAATGTTCGGTGACAAGTCATTCTGTGGCCACGTGCTTTCACTGCTCTTGGGTACAGACCTGGGGCACATGCTAACTCTGTGTTTACGTTTATAACGAACTACCCAACTGATCTCCAAAGAGGCTGTGCTGCTTTGCGATACCACCGGCAACACGTGAGGGTCCTTCAGCTTCACACCATCGCCAGCACTCGCCATTACCTACTGTTTGTAGGCCGTTTCTGTTTTAGCCACTCTGGTAGACAGATGATGGTCTTTCACCATTTCAATCCACAGTTTCGTGTGCTTCTGGCCATTCGTCTCTATTCATTTGTGGAGTGTCTGTTAAACTCTTGTACCTATTTTTCATAGCGTTTTTGTTTATCTTCTTATTGCTGACTTGTAGAAATTCTGTATATATCTGGATGCCGGCGCCTCATCAGATATATATCACCTACCAGCTGATAGCTTGTTTCTGTACTTTGTTGATATCTTTTGACATTGTTTCTCCTCCTTTAACTTTCTTGTCGTGCAGGTGTGTTGGCAACAAGGTCTCTTCGCTTTTGTGTGTCTACAAATGTCTTTACTTTGCCTTCATGTGTTTTTTTTTGGGGGGGGGACACATTTATGGATGTTATTGACACTACAGGCAGCCTTCAGAAATACTGTGGGTTCAGTGCCACACCGCTGCAATAAAGCAAAGATTGCAATAAAGCAAGTCAAATGCATCTTCTGGTTTCCCAGGGCATAGAAAAGCTATGTTTACACTGTAGTCTATTAGATGTGCAATAACACAAAGTCTAGAAAACAACGTACGTACCTTAAAAATACTTTATTGCTAAAAAATGCTAGCCATTCTCCGAACTTTCAGTTAAGTCCTAATCACTGATTGCAGATCAGCACAACAAACACAATAACGGAAAAGCTTGCCGTGTTGTGAGAATGACCATATGGTGACAGAGACATGAAGTGAGCGAATACCTGTCGGAAAATGGCACCAACACGCTTGCATGATGCAGTGTTGCTACAACCTTCAATTTATAAACAATGCAGCATCTGCAAAGCGAGGTGCAGCAAAATGAGATGTGCCTGTATACACGTTCATATCATTCACTGTGTATCATGCAGCGGTTTCTAGGGTACTCAGACGTATGCATTTATCCCCACAATCAGTCTGAGGGTTTTTCATCACCTCAAACAAGAAACCCCATATTCCTTAGTGGTCTTAACTTCCTTTTTTTAAATATATTTTTTTAAATTTATTTCTAGGAGAGAGAGAGAGAGAGACAGTGTGAGCAGGGGAGGGTCAGAGAGAGAGGGAGACAGACTCTGAAGCAGCTCCAGGCTCTGAGCTGTCAGCACAGAGCCCGACGCGGGGCTCGAACCCACGAACCGCTAGTTCATGACCTAAATGAAAGTTGGACACTTAACTGACTAAGCCACCCAGGCGCCCCGGTCTTGACTTCATTTTTAAAACTCTTTTTCTTTTTTCTTTCTCTTTGGGTGCATGGAGGCCGGTGTGGCACAGAATTGTTTGATTTATTTCTTCTAACACTTTAAAGAGACCATTCCATTGTCTTCTCTTGTGCATAGTTTTAAGTGAGAAGTCTGTAATAATTCCTCTCTCCATTGTCTATGATATGGGGTTTTTTTTCCCCTTCTTGCTCCTTGTTAGATTTCTTATTACTATTTTTCAGAAATTTGATTATGATGGACTTAGTAGGTTACTGTTGTGTTTATTCTACTTGAGATTCATCAAGATTCCTAGAACCACAGGTTTATAGTTTTTATCAAAATTGGAAATTGTTTAGCTATTATTTCTTCAATCATTTGGTCCTCCCCCACCTCCTGGATCTCCCCATCCCAATTCGGACAGGTAAAAAGATCCTTTATCCTTAGATTACTGAATCTGTTCTCATGTTTTCTAGTCTTTTCTGTCTCTTTGCTGTAGTCTGAATAGATTCTATCATTATGTCTTCAGGTTCACCAAGCCTTTCCTCTGCAATACCTATTCTAATGCTAATCCCTTTGAAGAAATTTTTCATCCTAGAAATTGTAATTTTCATTTCCAGGAACTCTATTTGGTTTCTTTTTATATGTCCTATAACACTCCCACTTACATTCACAATTTTCTTTAAATACCTATGCACATTTTCAATACCGTTTCAAGCCCCTGCCTGCTACTTTCACATCACTCTCATTTCTGGTTCTACTGCTACTGACTGGGTTTTCTCCTGG